ATCAACGACATCTATGTTCCGTCGAGATGTATATTTAATATAAACAATAGAGTATTTAAAAATAGCTATTAATTTTATTATTACCATGGAAATGTTTACTGCCACTTATATATATTGTAGCCATAATAGAAAATCTTCATTCATTCGTTATTTCGTTATTTCGTCATTTCGTCATTTAAATTCTATTATGTAAACTTCATTAAATTATTAGTAATTGTATATTTTGTGATATTGGTATTTTTATATAAACAACAAAAATCAATTACGGAGTTATTTATTTATTTATTTATAGCATTGTGATACAAATATAAATTATCACAATCGCTATAGACAAAGACAGTCTGATTGGCGCGGGAGACAAAGAGAGCAACAGCGTGCGACTAGGAGACACATATCTGTGCGGCAGAGAAGGAGGGCGACGGCGTGAGACAAGGACAGTTATATATGTGTGGTATACTAGGAGTGCAACAGTGTGCGATGACATATTCGCGCCGTAACAGGTGGCGATAGCGTGGGACAAGGACAAACTTATCCGTGCGGTAAACAAGGAAGGCAATAGAATTTGACAAGAATAGCAATATAAATTAGTTCCAGCAGTTCACCGCTACGTGATGCTAGTATTTTTGTGTTAATAAATTGAACAAATGGGAAGAAAATTAATTAGGAAAATTAAATTATACTTGTATTATTCTCATCTTTTCAGCTTGATGATTCAGTGTGAAATAAATGGGAAAAATTTTTAATCTCTTTATTATGCTTAAAAATAATTATCAACGGGAATAAAATGATCATTTCTCATTCTTATTGATTAGATTACAATTCTAGGATTTAATTGCATGTTTATTCAACTCTTTCAATTAATGTAGAAAGTACGAAGCACTCGAGGCCTGTTTCACATTTATTAGTTTATAACATTTTTATGACTTTGCTCATATATCTCCATAAAATTAAAGAATTAATAATTAATTAGTTAAGCCTTTTATGAACCATTCATATACGTATGTTTGAATTCCAATTTATCTCAATTCGTCATAATTCAACTGAATGTAATCCCCATCTCTGTCGTAGTAAATCTCAAAAGATCAAAGAAAATATTTTACATGAGATATGAAATTTTACACACATATCTATACATACTAAACATACTCAATGGTGAAACTGCGAAATACATACACTATACATTTTCTTCGGATAGACGGACAGAATCTGCGGCTCACCATGCCCAGTCAACAAACATAAATGTAACACAAAATGTCTCTTTGAATCTAATCCTCAATATACATTAATAACTATTAATTTCTTCGTAGTATCTAAAATTGATAATTTACAACATAAGATATAAAACTTTACACGCATGTCGAGTCTATGGTATACATACTTAATGGTGGAAACGAGAAATGTACATACACTATATGTCTTTCCCGGATAGGCTTGGACAGAACTTGCGGCCCATCATGTCTAATCAACAAACATAAACGTAACAGAAAATCTCTCTTTGAATCTAATTTTCAACATGCACGTTTAATAACTGTTAATTTCCCTGTAGTCTGGACGTGGTTACGCGTGTTCACACGTGGTTCACAAGTGGGCGTATTAACCGACGCAATCCATCATAAGAAAGCGTTACATCCGTGTCGAACGAGGAATGTAGCGTTTAGGGTCAATATATGTTGTTCGGTGGATGCCAGTCCAGACTTGTCAACGTATGTCGAATAAGATGCTAAGATTTCTGTCACGGCGCAGGGCTCGTAGTGTCAGCGGGCAGACTACGTCGTCCCAAATAAAGAATCAACGATTACTCAGCAATAAGAACGTCGTTCAGTGTAGAGTCGTTCTCCTCGATGGCACGGATCTGCCGATAGAGTTGTCAGTAAGTGGGATGATTTACTGGATCTTTGATGGATCATTCACTGAAAATTTCCTCAGGGAATGATGTTCGATGTTCAGTTTTTTTTCACGCAGGAATATCAATGTAAACGAAAAGAAATGCAGAGGGAATGAGAAACAATGATATTTTCTTGCTGAGTTCTTATTTTGGTTTCAGTGTTGTTTAACCCGAGAAAGTACTGGTATAGCTACAAAACTAAATAAAAAAGACAATTTTTATTACTTGTATGTCTTCTGGAATTTGTAATTTGATTTTTTCTTTCTGGATCAATCTAACTTTGAGATACATTGCGTAACCAAACTTCTATAATATTTTGTACTTTTCTTCTATCTTTTTGCTACAGATTTTGATGTTTTTGTGTTACAGAAAAAAGCATTGGCTAGTGACCTATACGAACAAGTATTTTATAGCTTAGACTTAATAGAGAAAGATTATTTTGGACTGCAATATACAGATAGCAATAATGTTCAGCATTGGCTGGATCCTACTAAACCGATAAAGAAACAAGTAAAAAGTACGTTTGTTTTTTTTTTGTATGCATTTACGCAAATTTTCTTCTCTCTTCTTCTTTGTTCATTGAGATTAATGCATTGTTTTTTTGCTCCTCTTCAAAGTTAAGAAATTTTCGTTTTCATAATGTTGTTAACAAGTGATATTTCATACAGTCGGACCACCATATACCTTAAGGCTCAAGGTAAAATTCTACTCGTCGGAACCCAACACATTGCGCGAAGAATTAACAAGATACCAGTTCTTCCTGCAATTAAAGCAAGATGTTTTAGAAGGAAAACTTCACTGCCCTCATCAAGTTGCCGTACAGTTGGCAGCTTTAGCTCTTCAATGTAGGAAATAATCAATAAGTAATAAGATAATGTGAATTTCAATGTTTTTTCTTTTTTTTTTGACATAAATTTATTTTTACTTTTAGCTGAACTTGGTGATTATGACCCTGCTACGCACAGTGCAGCGACAGTGTCGGAATTTAGATTCGTGCCAGGACAGACAGAGCAAATGGAGCTTGAAATACTCGAGGAATATGCCAAGTGTTCCGGTCTTAGTCCAGCACAAGCTGAGTCGGCGTACCTCAGTAAAGCAAAGTGGTTGGACATGTACGGCGTAGATATGCACACGGTTCTTGGTAAAGATGCGTGCGAATATTCTTTGGGATTGACGCCAACAGGAATTCTGGTCTTTGAAGGCACGCAGAAAATAGGTTTATTCTTTTGGCCCAAGATCGGTCGGTTAGATTTTAAAAAGAAGAAACTGACATTAGTTGTTGTAGAAGAAGATGACGAAGGAAGAGGAGAGCAGGAACATACGTTTGTGTTCAGGCTTGTTAATGAAAAAGCTTGCAAACACTTGTGGAAATGTGCCGTAGAGCATCACGCTTTCTTTCGGTTACGCGCCCCTGTCAAGGGTGCCAGCGGACGTCAGAATTTCTTTCGTATGGGTTCGCGTTTCCGTTACAGCGGCAAAACTGAATTTCAGACCACGCAGTTGAATCGTGCACGTAGAACGGTGCAGTTTGAAAGACGGCCGAGTCAAAGATACGCCCGTCGTCAGAGCCACGTTTTAAGAGAACGTCAACGTCAACAAGTGGAGCAACCGCAACCACCCGCTGTGGTTAATAGTTAGTATACAAAAAAAGAAAAAAAGAATATCTTTCTTCTGTTAGTAACGTTACTGTAGAATAAACTTTATAATCTTGATAAATTTTTCTAGACGAAGAGGAGTCTTTGCAACGTCAACCGAGTCAATGTAGCACGAAATCGTCGGACTCCAGCGTACACGCTACGTCCTCACCATTGGTTGATTCCTTGTTAAAATCACTGGCGAAAGATCAACAACCTTTAGAGCCTAGAAACCAGACGGCAGTCGCTAACACCGAGAAGGAAACAGAACCGGTGAAAACGAGTTTAATCATCGAAAATATGACCAATCAAACGTCGTTAGTGCCAAATAATCAAGTTGGCGGTACTTCCTCACTGCCACCGCGTACGCCTATCCCCCCGGAATCGTTGAAGTGCAATATACTAAAAGCTAAGTCTCTTGAACAAGGGAAGAACTCAAATTTGGTTTCGATCACTTCTATGGATGCATCTTCGATTATCGCGAAGAACAATCAGCCTTCTGACGCGGCAACAATCGTATCAGTGGTAAGAAAACTGAATTTCTCAAACAAATTCGTTATATTGTAATATATTGAAATAAATTTTCGGGTAATTCATATTGTTGAAAGTTGTCCTGTTCTTTAGATTGCTATTCGTTGATCAATCTGAAGTTTGCGTTTCTTGACTAAATGCTTTAAGAGAAATAGTATTTGGCATTTAAATTAGTATATCTGTAGCAATCAAACATTAAGAAACAAACTATTTAAACTAGACTTGAAAAACTTGTACATATATGCGAGTGATCTTTCACTTTATGGACTTCGATGTTCTCTTAAACTTTTTATTTCTTTGTGTTCCGTTTTATCGTCCTCCGGTATTTGTTCCTGTTTTTGTTATTACGCTTCTGATGCTTTAGATGTGACTTGTTTGCTTTCTTGCTTGTTATTTCTCATTTAGGGCGGGGACAAGTTGACATTGTCAGTGAGCGGGGCCATGATGATGAACCCATCTGCAGAGGACAACGTGACCGTGACGCACTTTTCTTTGGATAGCTGGGGACAAATCGAGCAAAAAACGACGCAGCTAAATCCTAAAGTTTCAAATCAGTCACAGAATCCATTCAATCCTTTTACAAGCGACAATAACAATGAAGTCACCACCGTTTCTGATAATACCGAGGATACGAAAACGGAGGAGGAAAAGAAAGCGAATACAAACCCGTTCATAGATTCGAATCCGTTCTTGGGCTTGCTTTCCAATCCCTTTAAAGAGATACAACCAATCGTCGAGAAGAAAGCTGAAGTGGAAACAGAGAAAAACGGAGCGAGAGTCGTGAAAACTGAAGAGATACAAACAACTACTACGACTCTTACTCACAAGGTGTGAGGCTCATTTTTAAACGCTTGTCATAATAGCTATTGTAATATGTCCTTATATTTGTTCCAGTATGCTTTAGTTTGTGTAAATTCGTATGTAAATGTGGGCTTGTGTTTTTGCTTGGATATCGGTAAAATTTAATATCGACAAATCGCTAAAAATTTGTTATAATATATGTTTCTTGAAATATCTTCCTTTTATATATTTACTGTATCGTATAAATAATACTTTTCTTTGGTTTTAGGATGATAATTCGGCCGTTTCCGATATCAGCCCTTGGTTAGTAGCCGATCCATCACAAACAACAACGACAGATCAAACCCCAATTAAACATACAGTGATTACGAGGAAGACTGTAATTACGACACAACTTTAAAGTATTAATTCATCGAAACATTCGAAAGTAAAATTCGAAAATAATGATTCCTAAACAGAAATGTTGATTAAATTTGATCTTCCTTGCGATATATACTGACTTACTTAAAGTGCCTATAGGAGTACAATATTGTCTTAAGTAGGAAAAGAAGTTATATAGCAAAATGAAAGTATAATTTTTTAAATATTATATATATATATATATATATCACTGGGACCAATTAGCAATTATTAATTTTTTGCAAATTATATGAATAATTTGCACTCATGTAAGTAATCAATTTTATTTAACTTTAATTCATTTTGATCTGTGGATTCTTCACGCGGCGAAGAAACATATAAATTGTATAAAAAAAATTTCTAATTGAGAATGATTACTTCTTTTACGTGGCATAATTTATGTATACGAAGCTGTCGATTGTGCAGGAAATTTTTCCTCAACACGTATAATATACCATTTGGTAATTGCATTAGTATTTAATGCCGTAAAAATTATATATTAATACAGTAGAAACAATACAGTCAAATCATACATAGATATAAGTACAGTACTTATAAAAATGTTACTCTATGTTTTTATGCCTGCTTTTTATCAGTAATTACTTTAATTTAACGTATTATCAATTCAGTTCTGCCATTCAAATTATATGTGTTCTGTATTTATTGCTATAACATAGTCAATTTTAACAGAGTTAAGTGCCCTTGTATCTTATTATAGTATAATAAGAATACACACGTACATTAGAAGAAAATAATGTATGGTGCTCTTCCTAAAAATTAAATTTATCGAACTAACTTATTCGTCATCTAATTGTATTTATGTCTAATTGGGGGCATTTCGTTACTTAGAGTTCAGGTGCCCAGATGTTTTAATTACAGACGCGTTTAAACATCTGTTAGACATTTTCTACTTGTCACAGTGCCTTTGATAACAGGAAAAAAGGAAGACGTCTTTATTGAAATTTTATGCTCATTCCTATCGGCGATTCATTGTTGAAAATACCTTTATTCACGAACATATGTACATTATTATAGATGTAATTATTTTATAGGAGATTATCTTCTTTTTTCTTTTATTTATCATCCTATAATTTTATAAAAAATTACGAGCAAACATTAATACATTTCACTCTCCATAGAAAAGATTTACAATTTGTATCAATGTATTTATATTCTATTTTTTATCATGTCATAAATATATTGAACCGCCAAAATACTTCTTTCCTCTTATAGTTTTATTGTATTTGTAATTGTAATATGTGTAACTAACATATCAGTATTTTATGAGAACTGCTTCTTTTTAAATACAATGAACTAAAAATATTGTAACTCGGAGGAAGAAAATCTGTGGTGTAAAAATATGGAGCGAGAAAACCACTCTACGGATCAGGTTGTTAGTAGATATTATTTCATACATACCGAGATCTGATAGTTACGATGGTTTTATTATGTGTAACGTATTTATATATGAAACGTTATGTTTGTGAGAACAAAAGTTATGAAAAAATAGGATTTATTTTGAATTACGCAAAAGGCTGTTAAAGTACTTATTGTATTCCACATGTGAGCATTTATAAAAGTAGAATAAGGCGTTGTTCGATGTTCTATGTATCTAAATATACTAAATATATTTAATAGTAGTAAGCAAAGTACATATAATACTATTATTTGAAAATCTTATATATATATATATATATATTGTGTTTACAACGCTGCTATCAACCAATACCCTAATGTATTCCGTCCTAAAGTATTATATATATATACATACACTGTTATATACATATGTATAATTTTTTGCTTTGTAATAAAAAAGTATTATTAAAAAGTCATGTTGAAAATTCTTCGAAGATATATTCATTCTTCTATATATTTTATAAACTAGACAGGAAATAATGTTAAAATAAAATAGTACCCTCTTAATCTTGCAAGATAAAGCTAAGAATAAAATTTCGTTAGAATTGTAATATCACATATGATATAACAGCTAATATAAACATTATAATTGTAAATATATTATATAAATATCATAATTTATAAAAAAAATTTTCAGTAAAAATTTAAGTACTCAAATAATAAAACTTAAAATTACTATGAATTCTTCCTTGAAATACATATATATGTATGTATATATATACATATAGTTTCAATGGCCTTTCAGAAATTGAAGGATGATTTTCTACTGCCTAGCTTCCGGAGACGAAAGTAGTGCGAAAACAGATATTTCATTAACACAATATTTGTCATAAAATATCTTTTTAACACGTGATATCAATCATCATATTAAATTAGCAATATTTATTTAATTGTTACACCATGTTTGACAATTAACACTGATGTTGAAAATCAATACCACTTGGTACAAGGTAAGTGGGATTTGTCAAATGTAATTTGTTGTTTTATACATACAACATGTCAAAATATTCAAAATTTATTTATCTGTATCGAATTTCAATACTGCTTTCGCTTTGAAATTAATTTAATTTAATCATTCAACGTATATTGTGAGATAAAAAAAAACCATTTTTCATTTCAGTGTCAGTTTCTTTAGGAAAAAAAGAAGAAAAAAAAAGGAGGAAGAAGAAGAAGTTGATGGCGTCTTGTTAAATGCATTAAAATTGATACTAAGGAATGTTAGACCGTGATGGTATTTTCTGCAACTCATGAACTCAAACATATCACACGCATAATCGCACAAAAGGCATTCTCTCTTCGACTCTATATTATAATATTATATTCTCTCAATAAATTCTTTCCGATGCACACGAGCATCTTCGAGTCAAGCTTTGTCTAAAAAGTTCCACACTTTCTCATTTACAAAGTGATAACTTCTCAAACGCTGCCCCTCAAACTATCCTCCTCTCTGAAAATATATATATCACAAGCTTCCTGACTTAAGTACCACTATACTTAATGTTGTTTCGTCATACGTTATTGCATATGAAGGAGACTGGCTAACAGGTGTGTGGCAGATGGTATCAAACGGGTGTCTCGGGGTTGTCCCATTCCTCGGCGTCTTGACGCGGCAGGAAATGTACGTGCGAGGACTCGCGCACCATTAGGCTAACAGTATCAGAATAATCGACAACGTCGACAGATCGTTCCCCGTCGCGCGGCAAACTTTTGTTCGAAGAGATCGAGCTGCTGTTCTCCTCGCTACAGTCATGTTTGAACACGCTGTCCGACTGCGAGTGAGTTGGGGTGGATAACTCGGAGACCAACGGCGTGGACTCGTCCTCGCTTTCGCCCGGGGCAGGCGAAGTCGGCAAGGTCCCCATAAGACGATCCTTCAGCTTGCTTAGTTTCTCCAAGCTGGAATTCGGAACGGGAACCGACAGAACGATCTCGTCGTTTAAAGTCGACGTCGAGCGTCGTTTCTTAATAGGCGTGGAGATGGCCGATTTCATAGGTATATTGTTAGCTACGTAGTTCTCATCCGTCGACTTGGATCTGAAGGCAGGTCTAGGAGAAGGCGGTGGTGACACGAAAAGCGACGCTGGTCTACTACTTGCGGAATTGCCCCCGCTCTTTTTCAGCTCTTTGCGCCCGAACGAACAGGCCGATCTGATGCTAAGCTGAGACGTAATACTGCGCTGCGAGTTTGTACGTTGAAGATGAACCGTCGACTCGAACGAACTGTCGTCTGATGTTTCTGGCTCGTCGTTGATCGGTACCCAATGCAGGAGAGGATTGGGTTGAAGAATCACGTAATCGGTATCCTGAGAAGCCGTCGAGATGGGTCCTAAAAACAAATTCTTCGTGTTATCCAGCTGTTCTTTCGTTTTTTTTTTTTTTTTTTTTTTATTGCGCAGAATGCATTGAACGTAAGTTAAAAAGTTCATCATAAGTTAAGAGGCAAATATGACGAAACATCAAGCAATTGTAGAAGAGGATTCCTAAATGAAACATGATTGGTTAATAAATTAATTTGTTTTTTTTTTTTTTTTAATGAGATGATTTAATTGTTCGTAATATCGAATTGTGGTTTCGAATAATGATATAAAATGAAAGCACTTGACACAAGCTTATAGATCTAGTCTAAGAAAGATAATATCGTTTCAAGTTTCCAACAGAGTTTTATTGCCATTCGCATTTGTAGTATAATTGTCCAACAATTCATTCATTTAGAGTAATTGTAAATACAATACCAAAGAATACACGAATAAAGAAGAAAATATAATCATAGCCTTTCACTTTGGTATATAAAATGTTCTCATATAGAAGCTTATCTTTCTAAATATACAAGATCTATCAGCATAAACATCCCAAAAAGAAGTATATTCGCCCAACATTCAATGACAGTAACAACTAATTATCACAGTCTGTTTTACAAATGTGTACAGTATTTTTAATGTATGATGAATCTACAATTAAACGTTAGCATCAAATTATTTGAGACAGGAATACGAAGAGTATTCATAGGAATCCAAGAGTATTCAATTTTAGGAATACAAAATGATAGTTTTCTTTTTTTTTTTTTTCATAAATCGTATCATTAATATATTAAATTACTGCACGAAAATGATATTTCTTACTATGTCTATGATAACGCATACATTCAAATCACTATCCTAGTAATATTATGTATTACAATGAATGACATTTTTTAACATTCATTTTATATCATTTATCTATAATAACGTCTCAATCTCTCGTAACGCGTTGGCACATTTCCAAAAATTTGACACATGCAGAATCAAGATTAGAATGAAGGTGTGATAATTTCCTTTAATCTCTATCATATATGTTATACTTAAAATATATATATATGTATATAAATAAATTAGATTTTTATTGACTATCCGTTGTATGTAGATACATTTATCTATTTGTAATACTGCTACGATTTTATCTATATACGGATATATATATGGTAAGAAACATTTAAACAACAGTTATATTGACCAAATTTTCCTGGGAGGTTGTAACACTGTGGATGATGAGTTTTATATAACTATCTTCGAATACGATGAGTCATCGATGTTGTACACACGATACATGATCGAGTTACATAACTGTATTTGTTTTAAATTCATCAAAAATTTGTACTGTATTCTAGTACGGTGTCACGCTTTTGGTCTGGTTGCGGTGGTTCTTGAACTATAACCAGAGGCAGTGAAAGTGGTAGGGAAGAGGGCTCACCTGCGAGTGAGTCTGATGGTACCACTGCAGAAGATGGCACATCTAATACATCCTCGCACGCTTCTTCATTTAAAGTTTGTAACGCACCGCATATCATCTGTTCTTCTAAAGTTACCTAAAATATTTCATTAATTATTTCTAACAGTACTCGATGTTTTCATATTGGATTAATAATACTTGTTCGAGTGTTTTCTTTTTTTTTTTTTTTACTAAAGAAATAACACGAAATATTAGATACAATTTCGCTTACCTGGAACTAAAACCGAGCAGAATTGTAATGGGAACAATACTTTGTTAATTAATTAATTGCTGGAATACAAACGTTTAATTTGATTCATATGGAATAAAAAAACATACTTGCTTTTCCATGACTGATTGTTTTGTCTGATCTCGCCTAGAGGGGCCATCAGTTCTCGATGTTCCCTTGTCTTTTTCAACAAGCGTTGGCACACGTATCGAAGTACTTTGCAAAGCATGATCTACAATTAAATAATAAGAAACATAATTTTCATATATACACTTGATATTTGTTATTTTGGTGTTTTTATGATGTATCATCATTTATTCAAATCACTTTTATATGCACCTTTTCGTTGAATTTGTTCCGATCCTACGGTGAATCGAACACTCCGTGGGCCTTCTTCGTGCGTGCTAAATGACGAAACTTCTAATTCTCTAAGTGACGCAATCACCATACGAAATAACTCCCAATCTCCGAAAGCCATTTTAAGAACCTGTAAATAAGAAAATTATTTACGAGACTGCATGATACCTGTAATTTACAATATCGAAAGCAAATTTTACCTTTTTCAACTCCTGTAAATCACAGTGTAATAAAACTCTACCATTAATGTTATTCTCCTTAATAACTTGTTTGTACTGTGGTGCTTGATTGGGATTTATACTTTCGATCCTATCAATGAGATCGCAAATTCCATTTACTGTTAAAGATGAAAGCCTTATCTCCAAAATTTCGGACTAAGGAAAAAAAAAAAGGAAAATTATATAACAATATTATAGTAGCAATGGTATCGTTATAACATCATTTTACACGTGTATATACCGGTAACATTGTAGTTGCAGAGAGTGGTTTAATTGTCGGTTCCATCGGAGGCATTTGTACCCATGCTGAGGTCTGCCAATCAAACGTTGGCTGTATACAAGGCTGCACCCACGATGGTGTTGACGGCACTGGTACGTGCCCTTGTAAACTTGGCGTTTTAACAAGTTTCATTGCCCGGCTTGGTAATCCACTTTTATTTGCACTCCATGGTTCATGACCATTATTGTGCAAAGTCCAAGGTGTGTACTGTTTGTACGTACCAAGCGCTGCTTCTTCTTCTATACTCTGTTGCTCCTCTTTTATTTTCTTCTTAATGTAAGGATCGAGATTTATTGTAAACGGCAAGAATATCTTCATATCGCTAACGAGCAAACTAGAACGATGAAACGTCAGAAAAATATCCAGTTTCCGCTCATCTCGATCCATTTCTAACAGAGGCTGAACTTCCTTAAGTACTGGAATTTGGGGTCGTATTCTAATGGTTTTGAAAGAAACATTGAACATGAAGCAACTGCTCGAAAGATTGCAAAATGTTTATTCAGAAAAAAGAAAGAAAGAAAAAAACGTACTTATCATAAAGACTTTTCAACGACATGGAATCATCTAAACTATCCTCATACATATCGTAATGAAGAATTAACCAAGACGTTCGAAACGGCCATTGCTCGGTGATATTGATCCAACTAGCTAAATGATACCAGTTGAAATCGATTTGGAATGCTTTTAACAACCTCCCTAGAAAAAGACGTGCAGTATATTAGAAATGAGCAGTCTCAGGGTTAACGTTTCTCTTACCAGTGACATAAACGACGTTCATTAATCTTCTCATGCTACGAGGATTTACGTCGCTGAAGTAATCGTCGGTGAGAAGCATTTTATTCAGATCCTGTGCCCCGCCTAGTCGATTCAAATTGCTACCGATACTGCTCGCGATTGACTCGCTTAGTCTTAATTTTCTACTGCCTTTTCTACTTTGTGGTTTCAATTTTTCATTGCTGTTCATTATACCGGACTCTGTGCTGAGTCTTCTGTTCGAAACAGAGTGATGCATTGTACTGGTAGCGGTGTAATTAACACTCTCCTCAGCTTCGGTCCACGCAGTTTTTTTACTATGTTGGGCAGTTTGTTGAGCAACTTTTACCTTTCGCAAGCCACTATTTTGCAAATAAAACGGAAGATGCACCATATTACGTAAATAATCGTGTCCTCCGATATTAGACTCTGTGAATAATCTTCTACTATTGACTTCCACTGCCTAAACAGTGAGAAACGAAATTTTACAATTGTCTAAACAACTGATTTCCGTATTGCTTGTTACGAAAATAATGAAATAATGAAATACGATACCTTGGCGATAATGTGCGGATCGATCGCTAATATAACAACAAACGGATAACCATTATCACTGAACAGTGCTTGTATAGCATCTAAAACTAACAACACTTTATCTTGTTCACAACTATCCAGACCATCCACAATTATAACTAATCTGCTTTGTTGCGCCATAAAACTATCTAGGCATTTAACCTGTTTCATATTTTACAAAAATTTCGTTAAGTATAAAGAACAAGTTTGTGAAAATACATTATTCAATTAATATATAGTATACCATCTCTGTCATTAAATTGACTTCGCTTTTTAGCGTTTGTATAAAACCTTCGCTTTTTAAAGTCTCTAACTTAGAAATGCTGCGCTGCAGATGCCGCCTTTGAGAAAAAACAAGTGCTTGCAACGTACGACTCCATGTGTATAAGTTTGCTATTATACTAATAGCTAGTATTAAGGCAACGGTTATCATGATAATGTGTGCCGTGACTCTTTCTATTGTTGGTTTGCTGTGTCAAAAATTGAAAGAGATAAATAAGTAAAATTACAATTAATCTCTTTGTCTCTTATCTGAGAGATTGTGTGTACTTACTCGCTACTAGAAATATCGATGAGGTAGACCGTAAGTACAGAAATACCAACAAGTAAACTGCAAAAGCAGAATTCGAATATAACGATATACGGTAGACAACAAAGATGCCTCCATTTCCACGTTGTTGTCGATTTATCTGGTTTCGGTCTGAACGCTCTGTACAGCCGCGTAGGCAGAGAACCAAAGTCATTCTCGATGGAGTCGTAAAGTGATCCCACCATTTGCACCACTGCGTTTTCACCGGCAGCGGTTGTACCGACTCGGGTCTGATCAGTGAAATAGAACTTTATTGGCTGAACAGTAACACCGTCGTGAACTCGACCACCAGGAGGATGACAGAAAATCACTTGTAACAGCAGTTTCAATGAATTCAATTTCGTGGTCAGAGCTACCGTGAAGCTGTACGGCCAGTACCAGCCGTATCTGCGATTTCAATATTTCGTTATTAAACACTACACGAAAGCGTACGGAGTACGTGTGCTTTCAGATTTGTAATTTTACCTTTTGTTGGCATACCAGACGAGTATCAAGAAAGCATACGTAATAAAAATAAGACTTATACCACACGCAAGACCAACGATCCATGATTGGAGGGCAAGACCTATCGTAATACCCACTAACAAAGATACGTGAGTTACTATTATGAACAATAAGAAAGAAAATTGGAATACTGGATCCATCCACTGACGAGCAAAATTTTTCATTTCCTCTGGAAAACGTTATTTATTTGATAAGTATTTTATATAATCTTCAATTTCATAATTTTTTTTTTTTTGTAAACTTTAACAAGTATTACCTCTCAGTTTATTTAACAAAAATGACTTTCCTGAACCCCATTTCGCGTAAAGGCCAACCGTTATAGGAGTTGAAAGAGATGGTTCACTTAGAATATCTGCTAGTGCACTACTGTACAAGTCGTAACCAAGCATATTTTCATTATCTTCATTGGTATTAAGACGACCTAAAATGCAGTTAAAAACGTTACCATCATATCCAGTCAACAGAGACGAAAGAGGAAATGAACTATCGGTTTCATTTAACGATCACTGATTAGTAACTTACGTGCACCAAATATTTGTCCAAGAATGGTCTTTTGATGATTAATGTCGATATTGTAAGGAGTTTCGCCTTGTCTATTGGGACGGTAAAGTAGTTGACTATTTTTTGGATTTCTCAATAATATTTCGACTATGGCTTTCGATCTTGCCCTCATAGCTATGTGAAGCACAGTATCACCCTTTTTATCGGTAGCTGATACTTTGGCTTTCTTGTCTAGCAATAATTGTACGACCTCGGCGTTTCGCGACCGAACTGCGCGTAGTAACGGAGTATCGCCGTCTTTTGTTGCAATTTCCAAGTCTGGATTAGCATTTAATAACAGTTTCAATATTGATATATTGCCTTTCTCTACTGCTATGTAGGTTGCAGTTTTTTTATCCTAAAATTAATTATATCTTTATTCCTAATATTAATCATACAGTTGTTTTGAGATGCACATACAAAATACATTGCTAAGAGCAATGGAACACAAAACATAAAGTGATAAATTTTTTTACATGCAACGTAAGCAATTTTATTTACGTAAAAATTAAATACATAGAGTGTAATATAAGATTGATTATACCTTCCCGGCGATGTCGACGTCAGCGTATTTTTTTAAAAGAGATTCTACCACTCCTCTATGGCCACCTTTCACAGCATGAATTAAATTCGTATCACCAGCCCTATCTTGAATGTTCACATAAGCACCGGCATTCAAAAGGGCATTTGCTATTTCGTGATGCCCCTCTCGGCAAGCTATCGCTAGGGCAGTACATCCATCTTTATCTAACGCGTTTACGTTCGGTTTATGATCCAAAAGGTGTATCACCACATCTACGTGATTCCCGAGAGTGGCTACTAGAAGTGCTGTCCACGAATACTGCAGTACAAAGTTTTATTAATTATCTAAAAAATGCATTGATTACTTTACCAACGCCAAAAGATGCAAAAAGATGTGCTTAGGTATAACATAACCGATTTGTAATTTCATTTCTGAACAGCGTATGTTCTCTCAGTTCTAGCTCTATAATAACAATAATCATCGATTTGGAAACTGAAGTCTTACCATGCCAGCAGTATCGACATTAGCACCAGCTTTTAAAAGAGTATCTACAATTTCTACGTGGCCTTTACGCGACGCCCACACCAACGCTGTAGTGCCGTACTAAAAATTAAAAAGGATAACATTAACAAACATACTTCTCTGACGGTGTAAGTCATGCCATCGATTTACTTTTCTTTTCTTTTCTTTGTCTTTGATCAATTCTCTCTACAAGGCACGCGAGAGGTATTGCGAACTGCGAGGAGAGGCAAATATAGATTACCTTGTCGCCGACATTGACTTTAGCACCATGAGCAATAAGATCTTTAACAATGTCAGGGTAACCTCTGCCCGCAGCCCACAACAACGAGGATATATGAAAATTTCCGTGCGCATTGACGTCAGCTCCTCGTGTCAGCAGCAACATCACCGTTGGCGACCTACCCTTATACGTCGCCCACATAAGTGCAGTCCACCCTCCCTGAAAATAGAATATTTCCTCTATTTATTACATCACTGCGTGATATTTCCTTAGGGTTGTTAAGTATGTCATTCATAAAATGGAATGAAACTCTTTTACATCTAATAAGTGACCACACTTTTTGGTGGTGTAACTCCGTTATACCACCTCTCTTAAGGATCCATTTTTGGTCTCGACACTCGTGAAGGCACTGTATTATAAGGAAGATCTTACCATGTCTCTGTGTTCCAGATCGGCTCCGTGTTCGAGCAACTCGAGACATACGTCCGTATGGCCTTCCTTGGCCGCGCAAAGCAACGCTGTCCAATTATCCTGAAAACATTAAATCGAAAGTTGACATCGCAAAATCGACAAAAACATGTACGTGTGAAATTCAACAGAAGATGCATGATACTAACCCCATCCTCTGCGTTGACATCCGCTCCATGATTGATAAGCTCTCGCACAAAGTGTATCTTTCCCTTAGTTGCTGCAAGGATGAGGGCTGTGCTACCATTCTATTGTAGGAACAACGAAATCAACTATCTAAAATCTGACGATTGACTGATTGTGAGTCTCGAAGCGGAATTTATTCAGAAAATATCTGCCAAGATTAGTGAAACTCGATAAAAAATAATACTCAAATCTAAAAAAAAATAGATTGAATCTTGAAAGATAGATTGACTTCTTCTCTCTCGACTGATTCTCATAGAAATTTAAAAAATAATAGACAATTTAGATTCAACAAAGCGAAATTAGAATTAGAGGGTAGTTATGTTCAACTCGAATCGAAATGATTATTTCAATGGCGTTACCTCGTCCCGGTCATCGATCTGTACACGTTTGTTTTCCAGAAAGTTTTGGAGACCAGCGAGATTATCATCCGTGATATAGCTGGCGAGAGTTCGGTAGCAGAGTGATACCATCGAGTCAGTCCGATGCAAGGTCTGTGAAAAAGTGGAATCGACTGGTTAAAAATGGGCGAGAGATCGTCTGTGACTAAACCTTGAAAAGTCTGGCGAATTAATTGCTGTTCAAGTACAATCACGTAGTAAGTTAGAGGCACAGTCTGCGAAAATCGACACTCGGACGACTCCTACTATGCATATAATAATGTTACAGTATTAATATATTTATTCCTCTTCGTTGGAAGGAAATTTAAAGTTCCTTAAGCTTTAATTTCGTTATTAATTCAGTTTTATTCACAAAAAGAACGTGTTATTTTAGTTAAAAAATACTTAATTTTATTACCATTGTTTGTTATTACAAATTTCATGCCAAAATTCGTTTCTTTTTTTTTCCAGGAATTCGTACTCCACCCTGAAGGAATCGAAGGGAACATCGACTCCGAGATTTTAATTTTCACAGGTACGACGTTGCCTCGAACAAAGGTAAAAAAAATACACAAGACAGCAATTGGATTTGAAATTTAAATAACAGTTCACACTAATAGGCTTGACGCATAGTTCTCCGAGAAAAATAATGATAAAATGAGAAATCTGCTGGCAACGTTTATTTGCTGCTGCTGGAAATAACATTTATTATATTCTATAATAAATATAACATGTAATCTGATACATTCGCGACATTTAAATTAATTACATTTTAATTATTCAATTTCTCGATTTTCCAACTTTTCAATGCGTTGAAAATTGTTTGCGATCTTTCCGCCAAGAAAGAAAGACACACGGATATAATCGAGAGAAATTTACAGAAAATTTTCATTTGGAGCACGAGAATCGTGGAGAAACGTTCTATTGTCCGATTAGCGAAAACACACGAATAGTGGCTATAAATAATTTCCTGAACACGAGGCAATAGTACATAGAGAGGTTGTATATGTATACATATTTCAAAGGGACACAATGGAATGTGGGTCAACGATAAAGAACGAATCGGCACCGGCGGAAATGTTGATTGAAAAGCAACCAAAAAGAGTGTAAAGTACAAAGGGAAGCGCGAATGGTTGTTGCAGAATTTTTTTTTACAACAAAAGCCTCCCTTATTTGTCGCACAGGTCCAAGTGTTCTTGCTCGGCAAGTGGCAAAAGAGCAAATGTCAATAAAAATTTGTTAAAAATATCCTACTTGTATCTCCTGTTTCAAATTCATCTGAAATATTTCGTCTGGTGATTAAAGTTTCTTTTTTTTTTTTTTTTTTTTTTTTTTTTGCGAACAATTAGTATCTTCAACATGTGAGAAACACGAAGCTTGTTTGCAAGACTATTAGCTGCGTTGTTAAATATACATTCGTAAAAACGAATTAACATTTTTAAGCTCTGATCTTTAACACGATTACGGGATAAACTGTTGAAACCAAGTTTGTGAGGAAATGTAGCAAAAAAAAAAAAAAAAGAAAGAAAGACGTACCAAGAAATCGTTTCACATCCTAGGGCAGAACACTAGTAAAAGTAATAAGCTGTTAATGCTGTTTCGGTAAACGTAAATTTCCATTCACACATAGGTTTAATCAACTTCATGCGAATCACCTCGATCGTTTGGAAACACTACTGGGGATCCACCTGACGCGTGTTTCATATCATGTTCTCAATGTAACTCCGTTTATTCACGGACGAGAATCTGATACGTGATCGATTTTTAACCGAGTCCAACGAAATCCTATTGTACAAGGCGTTCCATAACTCGCGCGACACTGAATCAAATATTCTTCTCCTTCTCTAGTCATTAGAGAAAAGAAGAGAAAATTAAAAAGAACACTATACAAATAGAAAAGAGAAGACAGGAAATTTAAAAAATTTTCCTCGAAATTCGAATTTTCCTCTTTATCATTTAAAAACTTGAAAAAAGTTCTAGCTACGACAATCACCGTCTAAAACTTTATGATAGTATTAAACCTTGGCTTGCGTTTTATCTAAATTAGCTATAATAAATTAAGCAAGTGGGGACAACCAACGAAACCTTATGAACGTGTACAGTATAAAAATTTGTATCTATATTGAATCATTTAAAACTCATAGTATCATATATGCCATTTGCACAACGTACTCGTCTATTCGTAGTAATAAAATTCATGAGAAAATTCTCTAAGAATATATATATATAAAGTGCAACTTTTGGCAAGTGCAAGTTGCAAAGTTTTCAAACAGATAAGATATCTCGGTGATTAAATGCAATAAGAACGCTTTAAAAAGCGTAAAAGTAAAATGAATCACGATGGTCAGTAATTATCACTTCAACGAAGACTTGTGAAGAAACTTTGTGCTGTGCCGAAATTTAGAAACGAGCAATGACGACTGAAGCTTGTAACGAAATTACCATTTAAAGGTTCCGAAACTAGGAACGATGATTAATGACCGCTAACACCCTTGGTATTCCAAGATTTTACATGAACATTTCGCTTAAATGAATGACTGATGGAATGTCCTTGCCAGATAATGCGTAAACTTGGCTCATTCTGAAACTGAACGTGCCTCAAAAAATTCCCTCGAGGCATCTTGCATGTCACAATAACACCATACTCATCCGCTGTCGGTTTCTAAAAGAAGGTGATTTTAAAATCAGAAATACATCAAACTCGTAGGAAGCAGTAGCAAGCAAACGAAGGAAGTTAAAACACCAAGGAGGTCCGGAGAAAGCCTGGCGGTTCACTCGACGTTTCCATTCAATGAAAGCAGCTTCTTCCTCTGCCCTTGTGACAAAAATGAACACCCATGAAAAAAAAAAAAAAAGAAAAAGAAAAGAAAAGAAAAGAAAAAAAGAAAATCCATCCATCATCGACTAACCGTCAGCGAGTGTCTGCGAATTCCGAAGTTGAACCTCCGGCCAGGCTCACCGTCGCTGGTTGACGATGGTGTGAACGTGAACGTGGGTACATGAAAATGCGGGAGCACGTGGTGATGATGGTGATGATGATGATGATGATGGTGTGAATGACGGTTGGGATCCTCCTCCTTCTCCTCCTTAACCTCCTCCCAGTCGGTGGCCGGCTGCTGAGCAGGCATGTGAAGTCGAAGAAACGGCAACTTTAGCTTCAGACCGATCGCTCCGCTTCTCTCTGACGCTTGTTCGTTGATGGTCGTCGAACTATTGTTCGACGACTCGGCTCCTTTCTCCGCGGGCAGCAAACAGTTCGGAATGCCTGGATAAGCACTGACCAAGCTCGGTGCTAAGCTCGAGCAAATTGCCATGCTTGTTATGCTGGGCCTCCTGATGGGATTGACGCTCGTCCCTGACAAAACATTCCGATAGCTGGGAGTCTTTGGCGCGTCGGTTGAATCCGAATCCACGTGGACCATAGGCAACGTCGATCTTCTTTGCTCTTTGACTTGGGTTTCCTTCTCTGAATCTCTAGGATGGCTCGTGTTGTTCCTGTTATTATTATTATTAGTTCTGACGGAATCCCGCCGCGTTTGACGAGGATCGTTTACCTTTTTCGTTGAGACGTCTTCCAGGCTGGAGGAACGTTTAAGGAACGCGGACACGAGCTTGCAACGTCGTCTGATCAGAAGAGGGGAGGCGTACACTCCTCCTGGAGGAGCAACTGTACTACTCGGATCGAGAATCCTGGTTTCCTCGACTTCCGCAGCTATCACCGACTGTTGTGTCCTCTCGTTCAATCGTAAGTTTCGCAACTGCGCGTCTCGATCACTCTGCAAATCGCCGGAGGTTTCGTACGGCGACAAAGACTCCTCGATGTAGCACTTGGGCGTCGATACCGAACGATTCGATCTCTCAGAAGGAAGGGAACTCGCACCGTGCTCCAATTTCTTCGTAGAATTTGCACATTCGTAGGAATTTTTGTCGATCTTCGAACAGAGAACGCCAAAATTTCGATCCAAAACTGAACCACCGGTAACAAAGATCCCGCGACTTTCTTCGGAAGTTCTTCTTTCCGAATCGTCGTACAAGTTTTCATCGTTGCTCTTCTTCTGGCCAGTCGGTCCTCTCGAATCTACTTCTTTGACCGATCGACTGTCTGACTGTGAGTCGTCCGAGTTCCTCGACGTTTTCGATTCGAAGCTTTGCACCTTCTTCTCCTGCTCGATCCAAGCTCTTCGAAGCCTCTCCGACGAAGCTGCGGCGGCGGCTTCCTGCTCGCCGGCAGATGAAAGACACTGCGTTTCCGCATCTTGCGGCGCGAGTGTCACTATACCGGAGTCTGCCTCGATCGTGATGGAGATCCTTCGGTCGGGTTTCGCGGCTGGGCTTTCCACCTCCCCGTTTTCTTCGTCCGCTTCTTCCTCGATGCTGATCCGAAAATGATGCGTCGTGATCTTGACACGATCGTCTTTGGCCTTCTGCATGGCATTCTTTCGTCGACTTTTGCCTCAACGACGCGACGAGATAAACTATAGGATGAAACACGTGATGATGAAAAAACGCACAGGATTTCATTTCCGGAGGTTCCAGGCATTCGTCCAAATGCCAGCGCTCCGTCTTCTTTTCTTAAACCACGTCGCTTAAGCCCGAACATTTTTCTACAAAATGTTCGAGCATCGTTCGACAGAAATAAAGACAATAGTGAAGGAAGCCGAGTCGAGACTTCCTGGTTTTGAGCCGAGCTCGAAGAATGCAAATTCAAATTGTTCGCTCTCGAATTAAAAGCTTTTACGAGCGAGTCACGAGTTCTTGTTCGACCTGTTTTATCGAACTGACGAACTGGCAGCATGAAATCAGATTAAAATGAGCCTATTTCGAGAAAGGAACTATCAACAACGTCGTACAAACTTCGTACGAAATTCGAAATCGAAATAAAATGCCTGATATATACAAAATAGCCTCATATAAGAATGATTAGAATTAAGAGGGTACGATGAAAAGAATTCTGCGTGTTACCTAAAATACGATCGAACGTTCTCCATAATCCATAATAAATTCAACCTCCGTCTCGTCAACGTCGAGCCACGTTACGGTCAAAATAACATAACGAGTTATCTTCGGCGAGCTTCAATTTTAAAATACGATCGGAGCTCGTCCTCTGTAATCGATGATAAATTCATCCTCCGTCTCGTCAACGTTAAAGCCACGTACCGTTCAACAATAATACAAATTAATATAATACAAATTAATATAATACAAATTAATATAATACAAATTAATAATACGAATTATCTTCAGCGAACTTTACACATTTCCGAAACACGATCGCTCGATCGACTTAAAATACCAATATCCAATATACCGTAAAAGACAGACCCTCGACAAGGTAGTGAGCCTGAGCATCTTTTCCAAATTTCTGGTCGTCATCACTTTCCACCTCTTTCTTCCTTCCTTCTGCTTTTGAAACTGGCACCGAAAAAAATCTTCCGGGATCGATAAAGAAAAAAAAAAAGAAAACAACGCGTGCCTCTATTGTCTTTCTCTGTCTTTCTATCTCTCTCTCTCTCTCTCTCTCTGATGCACACGATCTACTGTAACGCGTGCGATCCGCGACGCCAGCAGATCGCTTAAGAACACATCGTCTGGCAAATCGTGCGACACTTATATATCCCGACCGTGGGATCTTTAAAGTCGTGTACACAATCGTGCCTGAATCGTGTCCGCGCGTGCAACATCTCGGCGGTATCTCGCGGAAATTGTTCTCCCTACTGCTGTCCCTGTTTGCGAGAACGAAATTAACACTAGACTAGAATTACCGACGACCGAAGCATAAAATTTCCATCAGGCACGTTAAAAAACGTACGAAACAGAAAAGTGTTTGTATAGTAAAACAGGATACACAAGCTTTTAGTTATGTATATTTTATGAAGGATCGTTCAAGCCTCCTTTCATATCTATAAAATGTTTAACAAAAACATTCAAATGGTCAACATTTTGACCATTTTTGGTAGGTTCTAGTGTTGAAAATTCAGCTTCTGTCGGATTTTGTTTCCAAGGAGACGACGAGCGACGTGTTTTAATAAAATCGAGAGATCTTGACGCGCGTCATCACGACGCAAATATTTATTGGACGTTAATCGTGGAACGAGGCGAGGGAGGATCCCCTTGGATTGAGAAAGAACCAACACCCAGAGGATCGGTGGAGAAACGTGACGATCGTTACGCTGAAGGCGCGATACTTTCCCGTGACGTAACTGGTAAATTTAGTGACTTACGGCTGACTACGTTTGTTTCATTTGATTACAAATCGGCTAATATTTAAGTTGATTGCGGAGATCTTAGTTCCTGATTAGGGGATTCTGCCTTGTCTAAAGAATTCCGACAGCAATTTGGTCTCGATTGTAAGACAGTTCGACTAATTAATATCTATCGCGAACACTTAAGTTCAGAAGCAAAGAAAAAAAAATGATAAGAACTTAACGAACTAAATTTTATAAATTGACTTTATCGAATAGGATTTTTGTAAAGAACAGTTGACAATTTAACAGATGGATCAGAGACAAAGAAGAAGTTTTTTCTTTGTTATTAAACGCACAAAATTCCCATTTCAGTATTTGTATTTCTTAATACAAAAGGAACAAAATGTGTGTTCGTACCATCATTATTAAGTTTCATCGCATTCGAAACGTTAACGCGTTAAGGTGCCTTAAAAATTGTACTGAACGATCAACGAGTCAAGTACTCTAATTTATTCACCCAAAAAATTAGACAGTTTTTTGAACAACATTCCTACGATTTCTCGCGAATAATAAACTTCGAACAGTCACGAGAAAGTATGAATTCATATTTTCTTAAATTCTCAAGAACGTCACAAATTATAATAATTGATAATAACTTCCAAAGAATTGATATCTCTAACAAAAAAAAAAAAAATAAATAAATAAATTATTTTACATAATCTTAACGTGGTCACGAACGAAAGAACGAATTTAGAATAAAATACACAGAAACGAAAAAAAATGCGAAGCAATATGAATTGCTGAAACTGAAACAATACGAATCACCATTTGCATTGTAATTTACCGTGTCTCATGATAAGGAAACCCGGGGTACATTTAAGAAATGACGACGCTGTGAACAGTCATAAACTCGCCAAACAATGAATTTCTTTCATTAGTTTGCATTCCGCGATAAGCGCAGCCGTAACCTTGCAACCTATCCATAAACCGCCTTTGATGTTCTTTTTCATCGTGCACCAACGACGACATAGCTTCCAGAAAAAAAAAAAAAAAAAGAAAAAAGAAAAATTGCACCGGCTAAGTCTCAAATTAAGGTTCAAACGACGATGTTCGCGCAAGGCTTTCAGCTAGAGCAATATTTCTTTTACTAGATAGAGCTGCACGAGGAGAGGCTGCGCGTCCTTGCGCTACTCGCGGCACTTGGGGCCAATTAAAGCACTCGACGGGCTAATCAATTGTGCGGGACCAAGTCGTTTGCAAAGGCTCATAAAAAGAAGCAAGATGCTGCTAGAAGCATCTTCTTCCTGAATTACTATACGACAGTCTGTCAGTCAGTCTTGGCCTTCTGAACGATAATTCTGAAAAATATTTCTGAACAATGATTAGATCCGTTGATTTCGAACAATCAGTTTCTATGATATATCAGATTTTATCTGAATATTCCTTCCTCTCGTGGATTAGAAATTATATACATATCACGGAGAAACTATTGCTGAGAAAAGTATATATGAATTTTTGTGATAAACTTCAATTTACCTTTTTTCAGAAAGAAGATATAAGATAGTAACCTAACTGAAGTATGTATATACATATACAGCAGAACGAGAAGTGATATCAGACAGTAGTTGGTCAGACAACGCCTATGTTCTGGTTAATACTAATTACTTGTTTCAAATTCTCGATTCAATTACTATCGGGGTAATTACGTAAAAGTATATGTGAGTATACTAACAATACGTATCTAATAATAGATGTCGTAAAACGATTATTTACTCGCGTTTTCCTCCAGCTGATTGCGAGGAATTGAACAGGGAGGCGACAAGAAGTCGCGAGGAATTGAAGATGTTCCAACGTCACTGACTGATGAGCAACGAAGATTAGTACGTATCTGGTTGCGTTTATCGGGCAGCTGCAAGCATTAGAAAAACGCGAGCGTACGTAATCCTTGAAGTATTTTAATAGTACGAGCGATAATAACGACAATTTTACCGGAAATGATTTTGGAAAAAAAAACTTGTAATTAATATACCTCTGATTACTTCCCTTATCTTGAAACTAAAATAACAATAGTCGCACGTGTCTGAATCGTTTTTTGTACACCGTTCAAAACCCGGACAGCTATAATTTAACGCGACTTGGAATAAACGTGTCTCGCAATTAGTCGTTCTAAATTCATCGGCGGTTGAATCGCGTTGATTGAAGAGATCAAACGCGGTCCAAAGGTGTAAAGGAAACATATCTTCGAAGAGACACTGTTGCATCTGTCATTTATCTCGCGAGTCACGTTGAAAAATGTTGGCACGTTGTCCAGGCCAACGTTTCGTTCAATTCAATTTCATCCACCTGTGCCTCACCTCTGCGAGCTATGAGGCAAATCTATAGCGTTCAATCTATAAAACGAGTGCAAACAAAGATTTATCTCTTCATAATATTTGTCTCTTCTTCTCAGAGGTTTCGCTAAGATCGCGGATGATCTTTAACATCTTCTCAGTTAGAATTGGGTTGATAGTTCGTCCATTGAAAAATTAGTAAAATCCAACTGGGATACAATTTTACACTTTCCTAAGGTCGATGAAAAAAAAAAAAAAAAAAGAAGAAAGGAAATTAACGACGTTTATTCGTTGATTGAACGAGATTAAATTACATTTTATCCGATTTCTTTCTCTGTACCTGTTTGCTTCTGTTCCAGATCGTTTGCAGCACCTGTTGGCAAGATGAAAAAGACCCGTAACTGCGAGCCAATCCTTGCGAGAAAAGGAACGGGAAGGATGCCGCATTTTGTTTGTTATAATTTAACAAGTTACTGCTCTCATTTGTGTATTCCATGGAAACCAGATCGATATCAGAAAATACTCTCATAGTCTAGATTGATGGAGTCTCATCGTTGAAACACTGAATTCACTTATTTATCGATACGACCTGCAGCATCATTGCTCTACACCCTCGATTCACTTGGTGCAATTTATCCACACTTTCTACAAATTTTGTTCTTCTCCCCCATTGTTTTCTGTTTTCGGACAATTCACCCAATTCTCGATTATTTCTGTAGTTTGTTACTCTGTTTTGATTCTCTGTAACAGATGGCAATGATTTTTTTTTTTTCTTTTTCTTCGAAACTTTCTATTAAAAATGTTCTTCACTTCCACCTAAATCAACTAAACACCAATTGTTTCCTTTTGCGCGACACTTGGACCACGTGCATCCTTCCAATAAAATCACGAACTTCGCACGTGTTACGAATTACACAATACACAGCAATTTATTTCTCGTTAGCACGATTTACCACGGTCGTCCAACAGTAAGCTGATTGCATTCACACGTTGACGTTAAACTACTACCTCTCCTCGTCGCAATCTCACTTAGTCTCGTTTCAGAAAATCAATCTTTTATCCCACGATTCTCAGACTTTTGCAGCAAGGAAATTTTTGTGCTTCTTGTTGGCGAGAATGTTAATAAGAATCCCTAATTCTTTCCACAATGTTCTTACAACAACCAATCTGGTACACACGTTCAAAACATGTACAGTCAGTCAGACAAGTTTGCAATATTTACTTGATTTTATCCACACTGGTCTAACTTCGGTCCAATTTTCAGATGACTTAATCGAGACAGCTCTAACGAATGTATCTGGAAGCAATGGACATCAATGGACGAAAAGTTTTACACGAGTAAACTCTTGACTGCCCCTCACCATTTCGTTCTTCATATCTACGGAAAGTAGCTCGAGAAGCAAATAAAATCAACAACGCAGGAGAGATAGAAGAACGAATCGAATCTCTGAGGGGGGATTCAACTGTGTTTTAATTGTTGAAGATAATTGTCTCTTATATTCTCTGCAAGAATTCGATATGGAGAATTCTCTTTTTTTCTTTTTTCTCACAAGTTCTCTTCGAAATAAGAATCCTTTCTTTTCTTTTTTTATTAGATTTGTTAAATAATTTGGGTCGAAGTTTCTAAACAATCTATCGTTTCACTTAATGATTAATTTAACTGTCTCTCTTCTCGTGAAGAACTCGTACCTTTTATTTAACAGATAATCTCTTAATTCTCCATATTTTCCACAGAAATCGTTCCTCGCAGATATTCAATGTCGGGGATCAATGTTTGGAGGACTGTGAAACTTCCTACGGAAAATTGTCGTCTGATTTCATCATCACTTCTATTTTCGCCAGCTATTACCAGGCGAGAATCGACGTTTTATTTTGTGGAAATTGAATATCGAGAATCCGGTTGTCTCCGAGCTTTGGAAACTCGTCCCGCTCTCACGTAACTCTCGCACTTCTCTCTCCCAAAGACTTTCTGGAAAACTTTCTTCTCTGGGCAGACCTCTCTCTATCCTTTTGAAAGGAAGATCATACCTCATCATATGGTCTGCAACGAATCAGAAAATAAAATATTTCATAATACTTTTGCAATTTTGCGATTGTCCTTCAAGTTTCAATATTTTTTTCTTTTTCTTTTTTTATTCAATTAACCGACACGATATTTCCCTCGTAAATGTAATGTGCAATATCGTTGACGTATCTTCATCATTCACGTTGTGCTTCAGTTACATTCAACTTACACAGATCTGGTATGATCGATCGTTGTGTACAAGTTTTTGGGATCATTGCTTTCCATTTCTCGTTCCACAAGCTCGATAGTGTTTCTACCGCTGTTCTTCGATGGAAAATCGAAGTTAACACGTAGTTTAAGCCATTTGACACTGAATCGCTCGTTTTTTCCTCCCGAGTTTCTTCGAACACCGCAATCGCTGAAAATGAGGCTACACGTTGACGATCACCGATTAACCACCACCGATCGAGTCTGACCATTCAATGTTGTTTGCATGCACAACAATATTTCATACCTTGTCCACTCTATATGTCCACTTTATCGACTGTTCTGCCCGTACAAATAGAAAGAATTATTGATCATATCTTATCGGCAACGTGTTGCACAATCGGAAAGTTATTTCGAAACTCGAAACAAATCGTGCTGTTTGGTGTTTCTTCAATACAGTGTATCTTTATGTATCATCGTGCCAAACAACGTTCATCTTCAAGCAATAAAATTTTGTTTTGCTGATTTATCTATTTTTTGTATCCTTCCTTTTCCCAATGTAATTTCTTTACTCGTGGTAGCTAATCGTCGCCTGCGATAAAAATGATAATTACTCGGTGCTATCGGTACAATTTATACTTGAAGAACCAAATATTCCACGTCGTTTATTTTCAGTCGGTTAAGTATGTTCAGAGAGTGAAACACGCAGATATTTTGTAAAATCCATGTAACGTACGTATAACTTCGTTTCACTCGCAAAATATCGGGTCAGATATTTTCCATCGTTTAAATTTCACATAAAGCGCACAAATCTTCAGTGTCCATCCTCCAATAACAATAATGACAATTTTATTTAATACCGTGCAAGAGCATCGGATCTGAGATTGCAAAGTAATTCAATGTATTACACTGAATCAAATAAATGGTCAATTATCGTCACCTCGTGGTACTACCACTGATAATTTTGTGATAATAACGTGGTAGCTCATGACAGATATGATATCAAGTAAGAAACAGCGCATATTCAAAATAATAGGAGCAAGGATGGTATTATGATTTTGACCGCAAATACAAATGCAACTGGGCCTATCGTTATCTTACAGTGATATTCCATTAAAATCACTTGGACAGACTTTGAGAAATTGATATTGCATAAACTTCATATTTATGGTCGCATGTTGTTATGGTTTCTTCTTAACACTAGAGCAACCGACGATTAAACCATAAAATTTCCATCAGAGGCATTAAAGTAAACTGTAACAGGATAACTTTGTATAATATTAAAATGGAGTGCGCAAGCTTTTATTTGTACATTGAATGAAAAATTATTTAAATCACTGAAAATGCTTTGTTTCACATCTGCAAAAGGTGTTGAGTATAGATAACCATAATCTTCATTGAATCCTAAAATGGATGTACAATTTTAATTCTTCCATAGTTCTATATTGAAATTTAAAATTAAGCGATCAAATTTCACTCATTTACAATGAGACAAAGTTGTTTAAAAGGCGGGTAAAAAGATGTAATGTTAAATAATTCATATTAGGTAGAAAAATAGTCAATTGAAGTCAGGTTGTGGGTAAGATATAGTTCGGCCTGGCACCCAATGACATTCACGCCCGATAGTTATCGCGTAAAAGCATTTTTGGCATCATGTTGCTATGCTATCACTATCGTTAAACGATTACCATTAATGACTCACGTCGGTGGCACCGATTGTCGGTATAACGATTAATTTCATTCAATCGGGATCTGTCAACTCTGAGGAACCGATTAACTAATAATCTCTGAAAATTCGTATAATTAAAACTCGCGTGCAAAATTAGTCAAACTGGTCGAGGAATATTTGACATTGAGACATATTGTATAATCGTACGAGAACACGATCAGATCTCCCGCATGAAAAACTCGTACCGCCATTCTGAACAAATTGATTCGAAGATTGCGTGTAAAATTAATAAAAACACTTTAGATAGGTAGATAAAATACCTATAATCATCGTTCGTTCTCGAACTGAACGATAATACACATACAATAGTGTAAATATTACTAAAATTGTCGAATAAATATTTTCAACACTTTCCAAAATGTTCGTAAGTATGAATGCAACAATAATAATGATAAGATAAAGCGATTATGACAATATATTACTGGATTAACACACAGTAATTCCAAATACGTTCCTCAACGTATAACGTTCTCGAAACGTTGAAATTTGATTTGTGTCATGTGATGGTGATAAAATTACACGAAGGGGGGAGGGAGCCCTAGGAGTCTTAATACGTCATTGTGTGGCGAGATTAATCCTACGCGATGATCAACGAGCACATGGACCGTGAATCTTCCTCCTGGCAGCGACTTCACATCCCTTTCGGGTGCCACAAAGAGAACGTTGAAGTTCGATTCTTCTTCTGGCACGCGTTGCGCGCAGATCTCGAGGGAATGGAGACGGATAAATCACTGTCGCACCCAGTGTTCGCCGTGCATTGGCACACCGTCGAAGCTAAACGAAAATAGTCGTGTCCCTCTAACGTGTAAAACCTCTAGCACACATAGGAGGAGTGATCAACGACGCCGAATCGTTGTTCAAGAAAGAAAATGACGACGACTAGTGAGACGAGAGAAGTATGATTTGAAGGTGTGATCACAGGCTTGGGAACATTTGTGGAACACGCTTTATGAATATGTATACCTTCCCGACTAACACGATTCTATTGGCTTGAAACGTTTGAATGTTTGCAAATACAACATGTACAGAGATTAGAAAATCTTTGATCAATGTCAGAATGCCAGAATTTAAACAATTGTCAACTATGTTAATGAACCATATGACCACAAATGACACTGTATCTAACACTCGCATATTACATGTTTCTGTGGATGTAAACGATTCAAAAATAGTCTCGCAAGCCAATTCAGGTACTTACACGCAAGGTTGTGTAAATTCTTAGAAGTGTGAAATGTTAGAACATCGGCCCACAGTTGGAATTAGACAGGGTTGAATAATTGAGACAGACGTGTAGAAGAGTGGAGGACAGGAAGTGGCCTGTGATTAAATCTATATCTGAATGGTTAATCTATATCTGAGTGGTTATTTGGGATCGTCAGAATTACGTGCAACGTGGAACGCGAGACCACGTAGAGATACTCCATTGGTAGAGAATAAGTGGCTCGAAGATACATGGCTGAACTTATTGCGATATTGCATACGTGGCTATATTCTCAGCTTCTAAGCTTCTCAGAATCACTCGTATCTCTAAAAATGTACCACTGCAAATCTATAGAATTTCTGTGGAAAGGTTTGTTTGGTCATTTCGACCATTCTGATTATATTGGGATAAATTATATACATGGAGACAAGATACGTAAGAGAGGCATGATCTCCAAGAATTTCTTGGAACGTAAGCTGATGCACAACGACTTGCTATAAAAAAAAAAAAAAAAAATTACTGTTCTAGGTCACGAAATGTCCGCAGTATCGGGTATTGATCGAATTCTACTCCAACTTGACAAGCACATGACACAAGCGTGTCGTATGAAATTGTGTATGAAAATCCAAGTTCAGTCATACCCCCTCGATTATTTCGTGTAACATTAGACACATCACATTTGCAACTATTGGACATTCATACGTATATGCGAGGCGCAGGAAATTCAAACGGAAATTTACTGATCTCAAATATCTCGGAACGAACTGTAACTTCGAGGGAGCGATTGCCAGGTATCTCGCGTTTAAATGTTTGTAACAAAATCGACGACTGTCACGAACGAAGCGAACTCGGCGCAGAAGATTCTTTGAAATTCACGAACTTGATTAAACAAACGAAGAGAAGACAAAGGAATAAAGAGGCAAATCGACCAAATGTATTTTTGGACGCGTCAGAAAAAACCTCGATGTTTCAAGGTGGCTCGCCTTATAATGTTTATTTGGTAAGAGGTGCCATATTCAATCCATCATCGTTTCTCGATCGGGCAGTTTCTCGAAAAGAAAGGAGACAAGGAATGTATTTCTTTCTGCAATGTAAAATACTAAAGCAACGTCGCACTCGATAATTGATATCTTACAGTATTTTCATAAATATATCTTTGGGATCTCTTGCTTTGATTTCATTACCTCGAAGAAACGATGCTCTAAATGACCCTTCAACAAAGTGAACTGAATCCTCCGATACTCTCCATGGGCCGAGACCTGCTTCGAGCTCTTATTCGTTGGCGATTCACTCGAACTTTTTCGACTTTTCAATCGAAGGTGTGACATTTTCACTTTTCCTTCAGTGAAACTTGTTGGTGAAGTCGATTTTTATTATCGGCGAATCATTCACTGAATTTTTAATCGCACAAGCCTCGCACGTTAAACAACTGTTTGTTCAAAACACATCCGAAATAAGGAGAAGTCACTGTTAATAATTTTGCACGACTTTCGTTCAACCTGTTAATTGGAAAAAATATTGATACATATGTATATATTAATGCAACATTTTTGTGGGGAAATTAGTTGCTGTGTCAGAGAGACACTGTAAGTAGAATATAAGACTTACACTCCAGGAAACGATCCGGAGAAGTGTTTCATTGTTGGATAACATGTTTTGCGTTTGTTACATAACAGTTTCACGTGCGATAAGCGCAAATATGTATGCAAAAATTCAACTCAAGAACCGAATCAGAAATTCAAATGCGAAACGTGCTTTCATCTTTTCAATCGAGAAGGAAGAATTACTGATGTAATTCTCGACGTAATAATTTATCTTTTCAAGGATTCTTTGTTGCATCGTTATATCTGCCAAATTTTTAATATTGTGCCGGAAGGAATTAATTAAAAACTGACTTGGCCAACTCAAAGGACAATTCAAAGCAAGAAAAGATCATAAGAAATTTTCTCATTTAGTGTAGTCGTCAACGATAAAAATTAACAGTAAAATATAGATACACATGTTCCATTCACAAAAGCAACACATCATTTTTCATTCTAGTTAGGCTTGTTCGAACAGATAACAAAATTTAAAAGGTTACTTTTGTTTTTAATATTTAATCGCGCCCATTTATCGAAAGGCGAGATTGCAATATCAAATAGCCTAATAATAAAACGTAGAACGCTCGAGAAGAAATCAATGGATCAGCTGATTGAGTACGCGACCAGTCTCCTATACTTTCACTGAGATATCTTCTTGCAAACAGAAAAGAAAGTGTACGCAATTTCATCGATAATCCAATCTACCGTTATCGGACAATTTTTCAATCATCTCGCGATTATACTGTTCTTCAGTTGAGTGGTTGATAAAATGAAGATAGGGAAAGATGTAACACACTATTGCCTCAATCTTCCAGCCCGTTTTGACTTTATATATTTATACATCTATCGAATGAAAATTTCTTCGAATGAAGTTAAATAAATTCGAAATACTTAGTACTGAGTTCAAACGAATTAGTTTCCATTTATTAGTCGGTATAAGTTGTACGTACAATTTCTTTGATAATTGTGAATAGAATGAAGTGATTTCTTTTTCGACGTGTATCTTACGTATATCAGACGTTCTTTACTTTTGTAAATGAAAAAAGTATCCAACAGCTTATCGTTAAACATTACGTTGTAAAAAATACTGAAAAGAAAAAATATATTCGCTATCGTAGAAGTTGTCACTATCGTTTCCTATTAACTGTATCTCTGAATCATCGGTTGTTTTAAAGTATGAATTACAATTCAAGCCAAGGTAACAAGCGTTCCACAGTCTTCGAAAACATGTTACTATCGTCCTATAATCTTCTGTATAATAATTTGAACCGAGTCCCAAGGACAATTATCTATACTTAGTATTCTTTCACTTTAAGTTCGACTCAACAATACCGACCAAACTCCACTGTAAAAACTTCCGTTCCAAGTGAATAATCAAGATTTGCTAGCTGATATTTCTTACATACTGTTACGATAAAAATTGTTGCTTACGTTTCGATATTCGTGTACTTAAATTTTTGTATATTCTTATGAGAAACATTTTCGGAAGGAAAGCTTCCGTCTGACTGGGACTAGTTTTTATTTGAGAGTTCATCTCTTTTCTGAAAAATTTTCTCTTCAATTTTTTTTTTTATCAAGTCTTCCTCAGCACTCTGTTCACTTGTTGTAAGATAAGATTCTCTAAATCGATCCGACTTTCCAATAATTGATTCTCCAACAACGATACAATCGACGACAAAGTGTTTCTTCATTTCACACGTATATTTATCTTATTCCTTGCAAACTTTTCAAAAAATTTTCTTTGCGATTGTTCGATGATTTCGTAATGAACGAACTCCAGTTTCGTAAGACATTCCACTGTAAAATGAAAGAGAAATGAAATGATTTTACACGAACGATTTACATACAAAAAAAAAAGAAAACCTTTGGAACACCTGAGTTTCAAGTGAACCGTGACGACAGTCGGACGCACATTGAATTACTCGTCGTTGGATCGGGATTTATTAGCATTCATAAGAAGAGAAGTTAGAACACGAAGTGAACGGCCATCGCGCACTACTTACTTAAAAATTTTAGAAATACGATCAAAAATCTCAGACATAGATACTACGGTATAATATTGTAAGTACAGCTCCTATTATTATAAACCACAAAACTGAAGATCACAGGAAATAATATGAATTTATATTTGTTAATTTCCAAAAATTTTTCAAGGTATTGGAAATCCAAACAATCGGATGAATTAAAAAATTGGAAATGTTATTACAATTTAAAAAGCAAAGAATCCTCTTATAAAATATTACGTCCAGATATCAAACATTCGATTAATCTTTCCTAATTGATGCAATGGACTGCGTTAATATTAATGACTGGATTAACGAAAGCGATATTACGTGGCACAATTTATCTCTAGTAGGAACGAAATAGATGCGTTTAAAGAAGGACAGAACCTCGAAATAAATAAATTATTACGCCCAATTCAGACAATTAACCGGCTAATCTTTTCCAATTAACGGCGCAACGAATGATCACTCGACGCAAGTGGCGTATTCCTATCAAATAACATTACCAAAACAATGCACAAGTTCAAGTTTTGCGACGCGTACGATATATGTCACTATCACATAATCACCGAAAAATTCAAAACCGATCTATAAGATATAATAAAGCCAGATCGGTGCGATAAGGAATGCAAGCAAAACAAATATTAGAAACTCGATATACAACGAAATTGTGATTCGAGTCATTTTTCATGATCAACGTTACGCGAAAACGTCACTTTTGGAAATATCGAACTGGAGCGCGGAGGAAAAAAACAAAGAACCCACGGAGGAAACGCAGTGACAGAGAAACGGCGGAAAAAGTAGGTTCCGAGGGGCAAAGAGCCGACACTAGCTGACACAGAACTCGATCGTGCTAACATCCTTCGCGTACTGAGACACGAGAACAATTAACCACAGGCCACGATACCTGGTTCATGTAGGCGATCCACGTGGATGGATCATCCTCTTGCTATCGTTTGCTGGCGGTGCTCGAGAAAACATAAAGAGTGGGATGACTGGAGTGGATTTATGCGCTCGTCTAAAATTGGAAGAGCCTTCTCTCTCTCTCTCTCTCTCAGTCGCTCACACACACACACACATACACTCTCTCTTTTCGATGATGCACGATCATCGTCCCTATGTCTATGGTCGTTAACGGTAACCTTGCTGGATCAGCTAACTCAACTGAGGCTAATGTCATAATTTTCTACACTTTAATAGATTCTTCAGGAATCTATTAAATAGTTTATCGAGAAATGTATCCGGAAAATTCGCTTATTTCTGAAATAATGTTGCTTAGCTAGAATAATGTAAATGAGAAGACTAGAAGACGCTTTTTATCTTGTTCTCTTATGGGTTATCGCAATAATCCATTAAGTTTCAATTTTTCTTTTTTGCAATCAATTTATTTTTCAGAATAAAAATGTCTATTATGCTGACACATGTTTTTCTTTTATTTAGATAAGTTATTTCATGCATATATTTCAATAATACTTTTGTACATGTTTTCTCTTGTTTTGATTCTTAATGGATTACCATTACAAAGCCCTTCCTCTTGACCTATGAATATACATATAGTTTGTAATCATTTTCTTTCAGCAAAAGTGTGCTAATCTCCTTTGACCTCTGCGAACTTCTTCTACAAAGCTTTTAATGGATGTATGTTATAACTACTTTGCAAACTAGATTACAAATATTTTTTCAGCAATTTCAAAAATCTTGCTCACGAGAGCAACGTGGAAAATAATTTGTACAGAGTAGTTAAAAGATAAAATATATAATAATAGAATTAAATAAAATCTTATAAGAGTAACCTGTTATCTATAATTATCAGGCGTTATGGAATGTTTTTTTTATTCTAGCACTGTTCAATTTTTGGAACGATTGTATAAATTGCAACGTAATTCCACCCTTGACCTTTACATAAAATTTTCCCTATGACGTATATTTTAATTTATAATTACATAACAGATTTTGCGTAACGTATGGTGTAGAATTCAATGTCATTGCTAGCTGGATGCTCTCCAAAGAAAATTCTACGATTTCGTGGCTCTAAATACACTGTGCAACTACCCTTGAAATTTTTATAATAATAAAGTCGACCTATTTAAATTACTTAAACTTCAGCACTTCAAAACAAGAGAAGAATGTGATAGATACATTGTGTATGTACTATTATATTATCATGTTACTTCTAAAAGAATAAATCTATAGAAGACATTGCTGGCAATATGAAAGCAATTGTTCAAGAAAGATCAGATACGACGAGTGGGCAATTCAATAGATTCGCCCTATTTACTCTTAATGGTAATAGAAAGCGACAAGAGCATTGGAAAAACAGAAATACACAGAGAAAAGTGCTATTAGCTTCGTGAATTATTAAAATTACTCATTAGACAAAATTCCAATTCTTAATTTGTCAGAATTTGGATCATTCCCGCAACTGTAGTGCTGCATTCTTCTCAAATTCGTGCTTTATCAATGAATGAAAAAGAAGATAAGGACAGATTCATACATGCATACCTGCTTGAAAGTAAGATTTTATCGAGCAACTGTCTAAACTTTTATTTACTTGATCTGCTTAGAAAAAGGTTTTTAGTATTTTCTGCCTCATTAACAATGGATTTCCAATTTCAACAAGTCATTCTCGTGAATCTTCTTTGTTTTTAATATGTCACAATTTGATGCGTTTTCATAAGTAATTTCTTCAACGATGAAACCTAAGCAAACATTTTCTTTTTAATACAAATATATTTCAAAATCACGTGACCTATTGAGATATAATTTTAATTTCGTTTACCTACCATGAAAAAAAATTTTTAGTAGAGAGAGAGTAGAATAATAATTAAATATTCGATAGTCTCAGAATTTCTCTTTTCAATATTCTGTACATTTAGTACTTCACATTCATTTCTTGCCAATTGGTGAAACATGAGTATCCTATTTATTAAAACGAGTAGAATATGTGTCAATCGAAACTAACTCTTATCAAATGAACAATTTAACTAAAACAAGTTATTGGGTGCAGATATAGCAGACAGAACAAGATGAAAGATTTCCCAGAAAATCTTAGATTGTCTTCAAAAATGATCTATTATCGACCAATTTTCTGCTTGTTAATTATTCATCGAATATTAGATGTGCCAAAGATTTTCTAGAACGATAGAAGATGCGAGTAGAGCAACAAGAACCGGGGATAAATTTCTGGGAATTCAAGGCGAAATTCGGTCATGCCGCCGACGACGATTCGCTTGGTCGCCGTTTATACATAAATATAAATAAGTAGGGCACGGAGGATTTTCAGATAACAGCAGATGAATCGAGACCGTACGTACTACGGCGTTCCGTGCCAAGTCGCCGCTACACTCGTCGCATTTTTCGCGGCTTTGTGAATCGACTGAATACACAAATTTCGAGAGATCATCTTACAACACATGTATGTATGTATGCATCTATGTATGTATGTTTCCAAGTTATTTTCTTACAACTCCGGAACATAAATCTGCGACGAAATGATGTTATTCCAATGATGTTCACATAATTTTCCATCAATGTGGTGTATCTTGTATAATGGTAATTAATACTACTGTTTCATCTGAATTAGAAATCACAATAGATGTAATCTAAATTTAAAAAATCATAGGAAAAAGAATTAGTATCCAGTTTAGATAATTTTGATCAGAAAGAATCATATGATCAACGATCAATTCCTTGGTTACCGACAACCATTATCGATAATAGAAATTGCTTTCAGTTACGAATAAGCATAATCGACACCACAATCTCATTTTTAGTAACCTGTAATTGCAGAAATAAATTGAATTATTTTACCACATGTCATTTCATTAGAATTTAATGCGTCGAGCCAATTTCGTTCAAAAACTTTGAATTACACATACAAACCGGCCAATTCGTTTTCTCCCCTAGTTAAACGACTTTCGTTTACCGTCCTGCAATGCGAAAACCTTTAAGTTTCGAAAAAAATACGTAATTTCTGTCCAAATTTTTCTTCAACAAATTCGATGTAACGCTAATGAAAATTCAGTTATTTCGGTTACGCTACCACGCAATAATGCCGACTGCGCATGCGCACGTTTGAAATCAGTTACGAATATTGTGTGTGATTTACCCAGCTTAAATCCGAATCGAATGACAGCCACATCCGTGGATCTGGCAGCCACGCGTTCATATTGTTTAATGATACGTTGACTTCAATGTTGAAACGTACTTATCACCAACACCAAAACTTATTGGCACCAAACGATCAACATTCACGATGACGCCGCGCCGTTTCGCGTTGCAAAAGCGTGCCACCGGGCTCAGACGAGCAACATTCGATTATATTTACGCGAGAAAGCGGACTAACTTGATCACACCTACCATCAAGAGGTTTAACCTCTCCATTAGAAAATAAGTAACGGGTATTTCCAACGAAATTTTACGTTCGCGCCAACGATTTCATTGTTCCATGAATATACGATGCAATTGCCATTATATCGGCTCTTCATACTACGTATGTTTTCGACGATTAACGCTAGAGGGTGGTATGTTTTTCAAACGTAATGTATAATCTGATCTTGTAAATATGTATATAAAAGTCAAAGAAGACATTTGAAGGAACATAAGTGCGAAAGAAAACTGTGGAGAATAGCAGGATTAATTAACACGTTGAATGGCCACTGATGATCTATTTTTATACGTACTTTAAAATAATTAAAACAAGATAGATAACATTTACAATGTATTTAAAGTCACTAGAGTAAGTAACTAGAACGAAAAATACACTTTCGTTGTACTTCATTGCAATGTAATATCAATTACAACGTAATATTAATTAATATCTAATTTATAATTAAATATTCTGTCTCATAGAAATTAAATATTCTTATCATAGAAATTAAATATTCTTATAATTAAATATTCTGTTCCATAGACAAAGCGTGTGGCAGTCAACGTATTAATAAAGATTAATGTACAATTTGCATTGCATTGCATTGTCATTAATGAAACAAAAAGCGATGGTGTTTAATAGTTTTTCATGATACAAGTACATAAATAGATCAATTAAGAACGTTTGAAACAATATTCCCATATAGAATTACAGATGGGAGTACATTTGATCTATATAGATACATGTTAAGTATGAATGACATGATAGTTTTGTTTCACGTGAATATCGATCTTGAGATACACTTTGAGAGCGTACAATATATAACGGGGATAAACGTGGAAATGCAATGTACAAATAAATTTCTGTACATGTTAATATTATATGTTTAAGAAATAAAATTATAGTCGTATTAAATCTCCATCTAGTAGCCAAATAATTAGCTATCAGTAGCGCTTTTCATGTTATTGCAACTTCATATATATTTACATAAACATTTGCCTTTAATTAAAAAATTGTCGGTTCGTACTAAACAATATTTTATCTAATAATTTTTCTTTGAAAAAAAAAGTTTAGTCTCTAAATAACTATAGTTTCAAAAATCATTATGCAAATTGATATATACTGATCTTTAACTACCTGTAGGAAATGTAAGATTGTAAAAATACATACGAATACACATTATATGCAAAGATATGCGAATAGTGTAGAATATTTAGTTGTCTTCAAAAGAACATGAATTTGCATAAATAATTATTAATGTCGTTATTAATAATTTCGCACAATGAAAATAAACTATAGCAATAACATGAAACGATATATATTACGCACATTAGTATACTAATAGTATCGATCATCAATCGATGATTTTAAAGTATCGATCCAACTCACCAATTAAACAAAAGATCGATTCCCCCGGATAACCGTCGTCGTCATGTATGATATAAAACCGTAGTTATTCAATCTAGAAGCAATTGCACAAAAGATCGATCATTTTAAACATATCGATAAAAATCGAATTTAGAATTAAAAAATACGAAAAGAATTCTAATTTGTTTTAGGTATCAATCAACACATGAAAATTGCTTATTATAAAAAACATAATGCAAGAAAAAGAATAAAGAGATACTTTTCATTTAATCATGCTACGACTTTCGAATACTTTTCCCTTTTGTTCGTTTTAACGAAAAAAAAAAGATCTTAAATTTACTTTCAAGAATAACTAATGTATAAATCTTAGAATCAAGTCATACGTATTGATAACGATTTTCTTCGTATTCGTCTGAAACTTAAGAAATGTTAAAAAAATTGACGATTCAGTCGAATGCGATTTGAAGACCGTAGCAGGCTTAAATCTCAAAAGAAAGTATAGAAAGAAAGTACACGTTAGCATGAAAGCACGTTAAATAAAAAAAAAAAATCAGAATGATCACACTTCTTTGTCACTTTCTAACGTATTTCGATTTCTGCGAGGCGATTTCATACTACACGGGAGTAGCGAAAAACTTTTTTGTCGAGAGGATTCTAACCTCACCTGAGAGCGCACAATAATTTCCAAGGCAGCCGAATTCCGCTACTCGTTGATGTGGACCACCGGACAATCAATTAGAAACGACATTCTATAATGTCGTCGCTCACATCTCGTCGATTAAACGACCCAGTGAATTCGTTCAGTCACACGGTAAAATCGTGAACACGGAAATGTTACTCCGCCGTCTTTCATTTAACGTACGTAGCGTCACCCACCAGATGGCGCTACCGACATCGAACAGCTGATTTCTCATGCACGTGCGCCATGACTAGGACAGAACTATGATTACAGCAGATGTATATATGTATTCTGGTCAATTATAGAAATATTTGAAAATTAAAATGTATATTTTTATGAAAATATATGTATAGATTCCATAGTTTTGATGTATCAAATTTGTCATACATCCGCTATAACTATAGCCTAACGCAAAGCTATATAATGATAATTGCTCAATTCAAAATTTGATTCATCAAAGATCAAAGTCTATTAATACAATATTTCATACGTTTTAGTCAATTTACGTTATTGAATTATACTTGGAATTCAAATTCCAATTGTTGAAAAAATATCAGAATTTCAAATCTTATAAATTTACAAAGTTCCATGAGTACTTATGTGTATGTAATGAAGTCAAGATATTAACAAAATAAAGTTCATCAGCTTGGTTTCTGAAATATTCGTCTAATGCTCCTATTGATAGTAAAGCAAAAGTAGACTTAATTATAACTTAAAATTGGTAACTCATATGTCCTATCTTTCTTTCTTAATTTTCATTAATTTCATTGTTTAATATCTCTATATTCTATATTTTTTTTATTATTAGAATAAACATACCAAAAACAAATTGAAATATAAAATAAAGATAGTAGTATTATTTTTATCCTTGTTTCATAATCCTAGCTGCTTGTAAATGACTTCTGGTATTATTCTATGTTGCTGTTAACCCGGGATTACCCACCTGGGGGTCTAGGGGCTGGGATGTACCTGCAGTAGACCCCCACGTGGGTAATCCCGGGTTAAAATTGTACCAACAACAAATTCAACTATAAAATGAAATTAGTGTAACTTACAATATTCTCCTCTGTACAGAAAGCGCCATTTATTCTGCAAACCTGTTAAAAGAGGATATTGACTGAAAATATTTGGACGAATCATCTAGCGCCCCAGTATTTCTTGGAATTGTCTTCGTGGTCCTGCCTTGAGATATGCAACAGACAGCTATTTAAAGGTTTCATGAAAGATCATCAGTAGCAAAATTTGTTCACCAGAAATGACAGCATACAGATTTTTTGATGCAAGTCATAATTAATCTATGTGTACTTAAATCCGTTATATTCTGTCTAAACTGTAAAATATAAAGCAACTATGTACATAAATACAATTTTGTTCATGTATCTGTAATAAACAATTCATTTTTTTATAAATAAAAAAATAAATGTATATATTAAATATAATAAATATATTATCCTCCCTCCAATTGTTTATACTATTATACATAAATTAGTTTATTAAAAGTAGAAGTTTTATCGATGTAATATTAATTTCAATTTAATATATATTTTTATATTGTATAATATATAATGATACTCGATTATTATTAATATTATAATTATATTTACACACATAACATTTTAATAAATGTAACTTGAAATTTTGTAAGCTTATTGTCTATTAAGATTCAGGTTAGTTTTTTTTCAGATAGGTTAGTTTTCATATGTTACTGTGTCATCCACGTGCACTGCTTCTTGACAACTATCATGTCAGAACCACTACCATTGCCACAAAAAAAGTTTTACAGACAACGTGCGCACTCGAATCCTATAGCGGATCATTGCTTAGAATAGTATGTACTTATTTTCTATAAAAAAAAAATATAACACTTCAAAAAGTTTAATTCTATCTATAAACTCATTCATTTTTTGAATATAATTTCAGCCCTATTAAACCAGATTTAATGAATTGGAGTTCATTATATCCATTTTATTTTCCAACTAATAAAGAAGAATCCAAAGAACAGAATATTTCACAGAAACATGTTGAGTTTGTAGATATTGGTTGTGGCTATGGAGGATTATTAGGTATAAAATTAATTTTAAATTATATTGTTTTTTTATGGTATTAATAGAATCCTTTTTGCAATAGTTACACTATCGTCAATGTTTCCTGATAAGTTAATTCTTGGAATGGAAATTAGAGTAAAAGTTTCTGATTATGTTATGGATCGTATAGCTGCATTAAGATCACAAAATCCTGGACAATATCAAAATATTGCCTGCTTGAGGACTAATGCAATGAAATATTTACCAAATTACTTTTACAAAGGCCAGGTATAACCATATTTTTAAACTTACAATTTTCTATTTTTATAAATGATTTATATGTTTGTAGTTGAAGAAGATGTTCTTCTTATATCCAGATCCACATTTTAAGAAGTCCAAACACAAATGGAGAATTATAAATAAGACACTTCTGGCAGAATATGCTTATGTACTAGCTGAAGGAGTAATGTATTTTGTAAAATATTATTTAAATGCTCTTTTTTTTTACATCAATAAGTAACAATGAATATCATTTAAAGGCCATTGTATATACGGTGACAGATGTTAAAGACTTACATGAATGGATAGTGGAACATTTTCATGAACATCCATTATTTGATGATGTATCTAAAGAAGAATTGGTAAGAATTTCCTATTTATTACGTATATATGAAAGTAAAATTGAACATTACCTTATAAAATATATTTTTCGTAAAGGACAAAGATCCTATTGTTGAAAAGTTATATGAAAGTACAGAAGAAGGTCAAAAAGTAACAAGAAATAAGGGATATAAATTTTTGGCTGTATTTAAACGTATTCCAGATCCATTTGAGAAAAGAATTAATTGACATCATATGTATGTTTGTATATTTGTATATAAATAAAGATATTTTTTTTAATCATTCTGCGAAGGACACTCTAAATCGAGTTCTTAAATATATGTCATCATTATCAGCAGCAGCAGCAACAGCGATGTCATTACCATTATCATTATCATCATTATCATCATCATCATCATTGTCATTATTATTATCAAACTTAGATTTATTATAATCTAAAAAGAGATCATTTAAATAAATGATATTATTTTAACAGAGATTAATAAAAAATTGAAACTACCTTCGTCTAACTCTTTTTCGAGATCGGTTCGTTTTTGTTTAGGTAACATTTTAAGATAATTATAATGCCGTATGTCTTCATTGGGAATTAAATGTGTAGTTTTCAGAGAAAATTCATCGTGTATTATCATAAATAACATCTAAAAGCATATAACTATAAAATTCATATTTTCATCTTAATTTTGTCATGTTAATTTTCTTGACAAAAAATTAACATGACAAGTAAACATTTTTTTTTTTACTTGTTCCAGTATTGAATCAATAAGCGATAACGGCGGAGATATGTATGATCTTCGTATTAATCTCTTTCGTTCCCAAATATTCATCATAAATTGCGTATAATACAAATTTCTTTCAGGAAATAATACGTTTTCAATTAGTATCTTAAATCTTTTACTGTTGACAATATCCCTGAAAATTAACTCTAATGACTTATTTTATAAAAATAAAATGTAGAAAGGTAATATTTACCATAACAAGCCTTCTAAAATAAATTTTATTATACAAAGCTCTTTCTCGCTTAAAACAGTATAATTTTTACTATCGTCAAAATAAATTATATTTGATGGAGAAGCTTTCAATTCTTTTAATAAGTCGATATTCAAGCATTCATCTTCCACAGGATATACACTGCAACGTAAACTTAATGTTTTGTAGTATTGATCAGGTGGGTCAAGTATTTCTATCCATGATTTCTATGTAAAAATCAACTCATAACATAATTTGTTTGCTGCAGAATATTAATTAATTAGTTACCGTCATATAAGTTCCTTTTTCTGTAATGGTGAATTGGTTTTCTAGTTCCTGGTTTAAAATAGCATGTTTGATAATACTTCTTTGATATTCCCGCCTTTTACTAGCGTTAAAAAATACACATGGTACATAAATATCGATTTGACAAGGATGTTTTTTAGTAGAAATTTTTATTCTAAAACTTTGCACTGCTTTTGGATATAATATGCCCTTTCGAGGAAATATGTCGACGCACAGTATCTCCGATATGTCTTGACTAAAGACATTTAACAATTTAGACATTTAAAAATGTTAGGAAATTTCTACACATTTAAAAGTTTAAAAAGTACCATTTCCATTCATAGGCGAGTGCATCAAAATTTGAACTGTTATATACTAAAAGAATTTTAACGATGGAATTATGTGTAGACAGAAACCATACATTGATGCAATCAATACTGAAATACACAGGAAATAGTGGAGTTCTACAAGCACAATGAGACGGTATTGTTCTTGAAATACTGACTAATCTGAAATCAGAAGTTGACTCCCCTTCTAATATCAATTCTTCTGTTTTATCACCCATAGTTATTGGAACTGTTATCTAAAAGGTATAATATTAATTTTTTAATTTCAGAGTTGTTCAGTTTTGTATACCAGTTGGTGTATACCTTATATACACCAAACATTCTTGGTTCAAACTTCAAAAGAAGAGGTGCAGCTGTTCCACTTTTTATAGTACCATATTGTGTTAAACATGAAAAAATCTGACAATGATAACTTTCATTCATTTCGCAGATATTACTAATATTTACAGAATACGGCAAATCATTATTTGTAATATTGAATATCCAATTTACCTAGAATTCCATTATATTTTTTCTATACTGATATAAAGTACTATTTAAATATAAAATAAGAATAATATAAAGGAAATAAAAATTATATTATAAAAATGAAATTATACCCTATACATTGCTCCCTTGTTTCCAAAATAAGTTTTTCCGAAATTTACGAGTGTAGTGCTTAAGAAATTATTTTGGGACTCAGACTCGGTTAAACAATCAATTATTACATTTAACATAATACGACGATCATGTCCAATATTTAATTCCCAACATATTATCGTTTTTCCGGCTAATGAGTAATGAATTTTCATACCAATCACGGTTTCTTCCTTTGACTGTAAAGCATCATTAATTAGTATTATTAATACTTTTATATATACTTAATTTAATATATTTTATACTTTTTAAACCTAAAAATAAAATGGTCATACTTTTAATATTTCCGATTTTATGTACATTACACAAAGATCTGTATGTACACAATCAGTTTCTGCATGTTGAGGTAAATAACGAACTGTTTTGTAACGAACCACAGGTTTACAAGAACATGTTTTGATTCTTTTTGAAGCCAATTTAATAGGGAATGATGAGAGATTGGTCATTATCCATTCTACGAACATAGTTCCTTTATTTATGAGCATTGGGAAAAGATTGATATTTATAGTTCTTGTTTCTCCTGGCAGTATGTTTTCTAGTACTTCATTTAATCTAAAAAAAAAAAAGAAAATTAATCATAACATACATTATATCAATTATACAAGATATAAAAAAAGAAATTTACTTATTTACTTGCAGTCTTTCCCATAAAAAATGTTTGCTTATATGTATTGAACAATGCTGATTATATGCAAACGCACATATATTTTGTACCTAATGCAAACATCGTATATATAAACATTATTTTATAATTTCAACTTTTTATACTCGAATAAATTTTAATTTTACTTTCATTGTTGGTAAGATACACATGCAGCACACATTACAAATTTGTACTGGATCTTGTTTATCTATTAATATATCTGATTGAAAATTAATTCTTATCAGATATTGAATTACAAATTCATAATACACTGCTGTACGCGGACTAATGGAAACCATAATTCTTTGCTGTGATCCTGCGAAAATCGTTTCTGATACTGGATGTAATTTAACATCTTCAATATTTTCAAAAGGCCAGTTACGATGAACGCAAATTAGTTTATAATAAATATTTACTGAACTAGAATTAATAAGATCGAAATGCAACGTTTTGGTATCGTTATATTCCAACTCTCCGAAATGTAATTCTTTTGGAATTGCCTAAAAAAAAAAAAGGATGAATAAAAGTAAAATTTTTCGTTTACTTTATATTAAACAAAAAATCATCTTGTATATATCATAAACTTTACCTTTAATGATCCTATTTTGCTACTTCCACGAACGCGTAGAATTGCGCAGCATTTCGATCCAACAGTTATTCCACTTTTTACGACAATTATAATGCATTGTACCTCAAAATCATAGTCTATATCTGGCGTAGTTGGAAAAAAGGTGCATTCTTGATTTAAAGTATCATTTGCATCAATTTCTCCATTTATACATTGCATATTAAATTCAGGTGGCAATTGATAAAATTGATATCTATAAATAAATAACTTAATGTTAAAATGTATCTTACGCATTTTTTTTTTAATAAACAAATTGACTTACTTTATTTTATGACGAGTAACATTTCTCATTGCAAATTCTAAAAACTGTTGACAACCTGACATAACTGATGGAAAATTTAATGTATTGTTATTGCTAAAAACAATATTTGCATACTCTGCGTATCCTTTAAAATCTATATAATGTTCATCTTTCATATTTCCATTAAAATATACTGTCCATCTTTCTATATAAATCTGTTCATTCTGAAATTTAGGTGTCATTTCAACCACAATTATTTGATAATCCCTGCAATTAAATAATTCAGCTATTAATAATTTTTAATCAAATGGTAAATTCACAGACGCATTTAGAAAATACATATCATACTGATAAATTACACCAATCATTGGTTTTACAAGAAAATAACTTGTCGATGGTGAAACAAATTGAAACATGAGAGGTAAATGTCCAAATCTTTTAATGAGGAAAGTGGTATAAACTGGATATGGTGGTACACATGGAGGCATTATTACAATTTGAGGTATTTCATACTGTGGAATCCATCCATTTGAAGTAACAGGAAAAGAATGACCTGAGAGATACTTTGATGTTTAAATTTTTTTTTTATAAAGCTTTCATTTTTAATATATTTTAATAACTTTTATCATTAAGCTTTTGCATGATATAGTATTATACCTATCATGGTTGCAGATGTAACAAATGGAAAAGTAGAGAGCTTTTTATTTTCCAAAAAAACAGAACAAATAATCTTTCTTCCATAAAGATTACATTTTATATCAGGATTAAATGTAAGTTCAAATAAAGCGGATTGATGTGCAAGGACTAACAATTCAGAAGGTGTTATATTAAAAATTTTATCAGCATCTACGACACAACAAATGAATTAAAAACTAATATTATAGTATGAACTGTGTGTAAATTACCTCTTTCCCAAGTAATTAGCAAATTTGAATAATTATGATTTGTGAGGCATATCGAATGAGGTATTCTTGGATTTATACTTTCTATATCTACATCAGCTTGACCAAGATTAAAATAATGCTTTGACAACGATATTGGTGGAATATCTCCTAATCTATCAATAACATCTTTCATATACCCTTTAAAACCATCTTTTGCTTTCAAAGGAAAAGTAACAGCATCTACGGTGCCTTTCTTAAGAGTTAACGAGCTACAGCAGCCATATAATTCTATAATAATTGGTTCCTATAGATTAAATAAATCTTTCGATAAAGTCGATAAAAATTATATATCAATATCGATCCAATTGTTTCATTTACTTGATATAAAATCAAAACAACCAAATAATAAGTATATCTCCCCTCTTTCGACGATGTAAACGTAATTCTAATATACTTATGAGACCAAGGATTGATAATACCGTATCTTGTGTCTAATTGAAATGGCTTATGTTTTTCGTCTATATTAAACATAAAGGTCGCGGCAACATTAGAGTCATTCGTTAATTTAATTCGCCTCTTAATCTCTGGATTCTCCATTGTACAACTCATGAAAATCTTTCTTACTGAACAAGTTACTTGCGGACCTATTCGAATATACATATGAGGATGAAAGTTGTACATACAAAACGTATATATAAAATGCATAAACAGAGAGACGTGAGATAAAATTTCACAATGAGTTATAAAGTGTACTTTACAAGTACCGATACTAGATCCATAAGTGATAATTTTCGTACATTCTGCACTGCTATCTACAATTATAAAATAGTCAACGTTCTTTGAAAACGCAACGTGTGGCCGATAGCATATCTCGCATGAATAGTTCTCGTCGGGTGCTAGAGTCCAAGTGTAAGAACGTAAATGAAATACGTGATCCAATGGATTCGTGATTGGATCCCTTTGAACTTGGTATATCTGTTCTCTCTGCAAATCAAATTTAATTTTCTTTCCTTAGATGTCAACAAAACAATTTGTTGGGAAATCGGTGTATCTAAGAAGCTGGAATTACAAAGTTCAAATATAAATATTTATTTATATTTTTTATCAAGATCATAACCGTATATTTATACATATACATATATACATATAGATTGAGTTTAGATTGAGTTTATTCGTATATCTCAAACTTATTCAAAATCATATCTCGAAAACTTATTTCAAAAATTACGGATTATATGTACATGTATCGAATTAAGGGTGTTGACTTTGGTAATCCACCTGGAAGGTCATTGGAATTTACAACGTGGACAACTTTATAACCAGTCATCAAAATCTCCTCCGTACATCGATTTGTATAATTATAATTAATGAACCATGAATTTTTTAACTACAAGTTTCAATCTCTGTGAACGTAGTTGAAAAAAAAGGGAAAGAGAGAGAATTCGAAGGTTTATCTTTCGTGTATCAAAAATCGTAACAAGACAGTTTCGCATGTTAAATATTACAAAATTTATGCGCCTACAAGTTTCACAGAAAAAAATTCGCTTTAGATCGGCAATTAGATACTGAATACACACTTACGTAAGATTCGTTCCATATATCTATCATCTTCACCGCTGTTTTGCCAATTTCTACCTCACCGAAATCAAGCTTAATTACTTTCATCTTGCACGTATGTCACAATAAACGTTATCTCGAAGAGCCTTCGAGAGCCTGTTCTCCTCAATCGCGAAACAGAACAACGATACCCTCCTTCCAACGATGTTTTCATTTGAAATCCGTCGAGTCGAGATTGTCGATCTCGATCTCGATCCCGATCTCGCGTCTCTTCGTTTTTCTCGAACGCACCGAGGCACATTCGTTTTGTTTTGATAAACGTAGAATGACGTATCTGTGCGGACAGTGAGTCTCCAAGCAATTTTTCGCGGAAAACGGTTAATTACTGCGATTCCCCCCATCGTTTCGTACGGATATTCCTCGAAGGATTAGTCATAGACACCATTGGTTAATAATCGATGGTGGCCCGTGTCCTTTATGGATTTTTGACAGCCCTTGGAAAAAATGGCCCGACGAAATGTTTTACTTCTGTGGTTGCTGTATCTTGCGAACAATTGCGTGAATTACAGTTCGTGCATGTCGCATAATAATTATTACGACGAATGTGAGCTTTTTTCAATAAAATACATTCGTTTTCTTACTATCTATTATTCAGTGTTGTTATTGGGAAGGATGTCTAACGTACAATTTTTTTTTTTCTTTTTTTTAGATGGATTGGAATCGGAGAAGCTGTGCAGTATACTTGGTAAAGTGTCAACTATAGACATCAATACCAGTGCTGCAATCGTCCAGCCGAAACACATGCTGGACCGATGGAATGTTCGCATGAATGTCCATTGCAAGTTCAAAGTTACAACAGCTAAAGGTTATGGACTGTTTGGTGTCGTGCAAAAGATGTCTTTCAGGAAAAACGGGACACAATGTCTGGATTATGTGCAAGTAAGTATATTTAATGAACGTTATTGTTGTCGTATTAGATGAAAAAGAAAAACATTACCAAATCTCTCTAGTTCTCCAATCTAATTGAACCGGCTTTCAATCCATTTCAGTTCAAAAGAAAAGATTATCACAAGACAAAAAAGTTTTGTGGTTCTGTGGATCGTAATAAAGTGAAGTATTCAGTACCTGAATCAGAAAATAATGCTGAATCAGAGACTTATGCCGAATATGATCCAAGCAATCATAAATCTAATGCGGAATTAGAAACTGAAATATTTATCTCGAAAGAGAAGTTGGAAGCTGGGGAGTACCTTGCTCTTCGTATTGCTTACACGTCTTTTGGAAGTAAGTTAACTTGATCTCAAGAATTTGATGATTACTTATCATTTTAATATAACACTCAATATCTTAGACTGCAGTGATGTGGACTCCAAGAGATATAAATCAATTGGTCACAACACCTGTATGCTAAATGAATACTTTTGTGACGAGGTTTACAATTGTGTACCAGATATTTGTTCTGACGAGGGTAATTGTACTCATGAAATTATTAGTTCTGGCACTGGCACAAAAGTAACAGTTGGTGCAGTGACTACCATGATCTTATGCTTTATCATATTTGTTATGTGTTTGTGGATATGTAAAAGGTCGCAAAAATTATGTTGGTCTACCGATTGTGTGCTTATGTCTATCGATTCAGACGTGTGTTCAAGACCGGGTACACTGCCACATGAAACCGAGGGATCTGTTAATCCACCAGTTCCCTCAGCACCAATGTTAGAAGTCGCGGTTCCTTCGTCAGTTGCTGATAAAGATTTACCACCTAGTTACGATTCCCTATTTCCAGAACAAAATAATCCTGTTAGATTATAATCGTAAGTGTAAGTTATTGTGTAATTGATTTGTACTGACAGCTTATTATCTAATGTTTTAATTAGATATTGCTGTATACAATGCAGTCCTCAGATATATATATGGTATGAATGAGTGCCTTTTTTGAATGAATCAGATATAAGTGAATCACAAACAAGTGCTCGATAAAAATACTGAATTTTTATACCAACTTTTTTGTCAATATCGTATACATTAGCATTTATAATACTAAATATTTTTATATTTTATATAACTCATTCTGCAAAACTGTACTGAGATACAAATGTAGAGCCTGTAAGAACTAAAGTATAAACTACTACGAACAGTCAATTACTCAGCAACGAAAAAGTACTATTTTAGGATAAACGATATTTCGATTATAATTTATAAGCTGCTTTTAATGTTGGAAAAATACAGTATTTAATAAATATATTTATACAAGATTATTTTTCAATTATTGTTAAAAATACTCGTTAGTTAATTGATCGTGTATTAAGTTACAAATTATTCGTTGTATTATCTTCATTTACATTCCAATATGTTCGTGTAACCATAAACAAGCGTTAATGACGTTATCAATTTCAGCAGTTCCCGATGCTAAAGGATGATTATCTTCGTAAAGTAGCATTCTGTAAAAATATATACCTATTAAAGAAACTGTACGAAGAGATTTTGAATTTAATATGATTTCTAATTTGTACTTATAGAAACTACTTGCTTTGTTTTAACGTTATTTGCCTTAAGACGTTGATACCACAGTTTCCCTTGAGACGAAGGTACCCGCAAGTCGTTCGAACCGATACATAATAAGGTTGGAGCTTTCACATTGTTAACGTGCATAATTGGAGAACATTTAAACATCTTCACAAACATTTCAACTCGATCCGATTCCGAGAGTGGTGCACTTTCATCAAAGGGATAATTGATTTCAGCAGCACACCTGAAATTAAATGCATTACAAAGACAATAATTGAAAGAAAATTTTCTATATGATACCTAATCTTTGTATTATTCTTTCTTTTATTTTTTACAATATTTCATTCTACAATTAAGCTTACTTAATTCTTTCTTCCTTACTCAGAGCATTGCGACTGCAATATAATTGAAGTAATTCAGAACTATGAAAAATCTTTAATAATACAATAATGTTTTTACCAATCTGGAATGTCTGATATCGAGTACATAGCAGCAATGTCGATTACAGGGTTTCTTGCAACAACAGCTTTATATAAACCCTATAAAAATAAGTTGCATTTTACTGAATATTGTTATTACGTTTGCTAAGTATATGAATATACGAATAGTTTATGAATTTACCGGATATTGAGCACTTAAGTGAGTAACTAAAAATCCTCCATGAGATCCACCCGTAATTCCTACTTTGTCTGGATTTAACCATGGATATTTTCGTAGAGCTTCATTTGTAGCAGTCACACAGTCCTTCACATCAACGTTTCCAACTTTCCCTTGAAGATATTCAACGTTTTTTGACCCCATTCCGGTGGAGCCACGATAGTTAACTTGTACTATTGCGAAACCTTAAATAAAACATTTTTTAGAAAAAAGTTAAGATAGATTGTGAAATATAAATTATTATAAATGTATTGTGAATATTTACCTGATAAAACAAACAAAAAGTAATCCAATATAAACGAATTTGCATAGTTAACATGAGGTCCACCATGTGGTGCAATTATTAGAGGTACAGATTTATCATTTCCATTTTTTGGCCCAAAATAAATAAAATTAAAATGTTCTACAAAAAGTAAAAATCATTAAAAGACTGTTTCTTATATTTTTCAATTCTTAAAGTTTTTAATAATTTACTTACTAATTTCTTCGTCGTTGTCGTAATCATATTCGGAACCCTCGTACATTAAATTTTCTGTACCAGGGATCGTTTCAGGAACAGAAACTCTATATTTTTTAATGTGACCAGTAGCGATTGTTTTCGAGTCAAATTTTCCTACTGTAAGCGTAGGTGGTTCCAAAAGAGACATTTCCGAAAATGCAATAACATCATTTTTTACGTCCAAAATAGTAAGACTACTTTTATCATTTTGGATCTCAGTTACAGTTTTCGTTTCTGCAAATTATATTTTTGTTACTAATGACTTAAACAAAGGGAAAATTGAATAAAAATGAAATACATTACGAATTTTTACTTGTGTCAACGATGTAAGAACGTGTGTTATTCTGTTGAGCTGTACTTAAAAATATATACTGTGAATTCATACTCCAGCATCGGCGTGGTAACCGACCATATAAGCCATAAAATTTTTCAGCATTTTTGATAGGTATACTCGAATGTACAATGTCTATGAGTATATCAGCCTGCGTAAAATACAATATATATTTAAATAAAATTAACATTAAGGTAAGTATATCCTAATATATAAATACCTTAGAATTTTTACAAGTGAATTCAAGATGCATAAGTCTATGAGCATTATGATGCGCACCACCTGCTTCTCTTTCTAACCAGATTAAACATTTTTTATCAGGACTAAGTCTTGGGCTATGCACCGCACATCCATCTTTTGAGAGCTTGTCTAAAAAAAATATATATATATAAGTAAATTATTTTTATTAATTTATTTTGGGCCAAAAAAATATATATATATAAGTAAATATATATATATATATATATATATATATATATATATATATAAATATATATATATATATATATATATATATATATATATATATATATATATATATATATGATCTTAATTTACAAACTAAAAAGTAAAATGGACTATTTCTTACTGTATTGTCCTTTTGTTAATAAAAATATCCAAGAAAGTCTATTAGTACAGGCAATTAGACCTAAATGTCTTGGCTCATGTTTCCATGCTACACCAATGATACTTTCACTATCTGCAGCCCATAGTACTTGAGCAGGTGATAGTTCATCTGGTATACCCGTGAGAGCTGAAATTGTGTCTGTTGTCGTATCAAGGATAGCAACAACTGGATGGTGTTTACCTACCAATTGTTCTCCCCAATGAGGCTTGTAAATATATTCGTTACCCTATACCAAGTATTTCACCAGTTAAAGCTGAAGTTCCTTACTATGTATTTACATTAAAAACAAAAACAAAAAAAAACAAAAAGTAATTTACCACTGTTACATTTTCTTCCTTTTTATCTTTATCTTCTTTATTTATAGGTTTCTGCTTATAAAATGGTTCTGACTTTGGTTGCTTTTTCTCAGCGATATATAATACTTTTGTTTTGTCTGGAGACCATTGGAAAGAAGCAAATTCAGCTGGAAACGAAAAAACAAAATTTTTGAGTTCTTGTTAAATATTACATATGTATTGAATATACAGGATGGACAAGCAAAAATGGATATCTATTTTTTGTTGTACGAAAAAACTTCTGAGGGCAAAGTTGCACTACAAACATAATTCTGAAAATATCTTTTTTCAATGTTCAAATTTATTTACGAGATCTCAAGATTATCGTTATCTTTTGTATAATTAATCTATAATTACTTTTGGATATTTTTCCAATCTATAGGTCGTTGAATTTGTTTTTTCACTTTCTACAAGAATATTTAAAAGGTAAATACAAATTAAGCAAGCAAAGAAAAACGATAACGACCTCCAAGTCTTATAAACAAACCATCAATAAAAAAAAAGATATCTTATTTGTCTTTTAAAACAGTTCGATTTTGTCTTCAGAAGTTCTTTTTGGTACAACAGAAAAATGGTTCCACTTAGCTAATCCGATTTGTATGCAACTTTGGGATAATAATTACAATCCGTGTAGACATCGCCGTGCACATCTAAAGCACTTAAATCATAATTCTTCACGAGCCTCTGTTTATCCCAGATCTCAATAAATTGTTTATTGGTATTTTCAATTAGGGCCTGTCTCAATACGGCTCTGCGTTGCTTATCTTCGGTATAATCAGATAAAGACCTGCAATAAAAATGAATTTCTTTACAGATGTGCAACACATCTCACAACATACGACAAATTGCATTTTCACAAGCATGCAACGTACTCTACTGTAGTATCCATAGGAAAGCTGTCGGACTGCACTTGAAACTTCGAGTCCAGAATGTGAGTCTGGCAAAACTTTTGGTTTGTTCTTCTTTCCAAATTCCTTTGAGACCAACCGCTCAGAATTGTTATCCCGTTCTCGCTAACGTCGAGGATTCTCGCGCTGCTCAGAGATGGATTTCGTGCCAACGTTTTATACAGGTGGACAGTATTTTCGATCTGCGAAACAATCATTTATTTATTTTTTTTAAATTTCTGCAAAAGTATCGTCTTGATATTTGTAACTCTAGCATACCTGATTATTCGTTGCCATCGTGCAGAGAGGTATTTGCTCCACGGCTCGTTATCAAATTCTCGTTATCAATTTGTGACAAATATGCTATATAAAAGGCGCGCAAATATCGATAAGAATCAAGCACAGATAACGAATTGAATAAACAATTGAATGTATACAGAAGAGATTCTTGAATTCATGTCACGAGATGATTACTTCTGCGATATAACTCGAATAAAATGTATGGAAACCTCACGTTCCCTTACCGCTGATTGATGCTAACAGATCTTTTGTTTGAAAAATTTATAAATTCTTATTCGTTCATTTCGTAGATCGAACGAAATACACTGAAGAAGCTGAGTACCCGACTAAGAGGACTCGATTGCGAAGGTTCAAAAAGTTCCCAGTAATTTATTCCAATAAAAATTGAATCGCTTTGTGGACACTGAACTATTGGCGCCACGTAGCGGCGGAAAATAGCGGAAATAATCTCTTAACGACAAGAATGGAAAATAGGATTTGCCCATTTTCAGTGGTTAATTTCATTCTATGTGTGTACGATATGAAGTTGAGGTTTTCGATTACGTTCACGGACAGATTCGACTTTGATTTTGAATGTAATTTACGAGAAATTACATTTCATTTAAGAGAAAGTTTTGATCTATTAAACAAGATTTGAAACTCTGTTCATGCGTCATCTGTCAAATCGAGAAAGCTGAATCAAGCTAAAAACTAAAGAAAATAAAAGAAAAGCTAAAGGTTTAAAATCGAGAATGCAATTTCAAAAGTTTGCAAGTTAATTTTCAATTAGTGCTTCGTCGGACACTGTGGTGCCATCTATCAGTAATATTGGTTCTGAAGTTACCGACGTTTACCAGCAGCTGGCGCCGCCAATATTCAAATTGTAGTGATTATGATGATAATATCATAATACTACAAGTAAGAACTTCGTAACTTTAGTAACTTTTAATAAATTATAATAAATGATATTTAAATAACAATAATATATTAGATAAAGTTTATAGCACAAATAGATAACTTTTCCGTGAATGTTAATTAAGGAATGAATAACAAATTATAAAATGGAGTCTATATATACATTTCTATCAATAAGTAAATATCTCCATAGTAATAATAAAAATAAAATATAATTTACAAATATTCTTATGTTAGGAGTTTATATACAGTCGATGTCGGTTTACAGGAAACATACTTTTCGGCAGAACGATTGCTTTGTTGTAGATGGCGCTGATTTCAATTTTGATGAGATAACGGTCGCTACAAAATTAGGACGTTAATTGCAAAAAGACCAACTAAAGGCGATTAATTTGTAAACTTTTGAACAGTGTCATCAAAACAGAGTGATTTTAGGCACTCAACTTCTTTCGTTATCTGTATGTAATTAATAATTATATCACTGATCGTAGTTATTTACATAATAATATTAACGATCAAAGAAGAAAAATCCGATGTTACCGCAGTACAATTTTTCTAATACGGATTTCGGTAAATTACACTTTTTATTTTATAATACAACACGCTAACATATCGTAAACTTAGTGCAACATGTACTTACACATTATTGAGATACAACCCAATAGCAGTTATAGCGAGTAACCAGAACATAGAAAAGATTTATCAGAACAAAAAGATTTATTTACAATCTATAATTTTACAAACTTATTTGCGCTATATACTTTCTATGTACAGTTCGCAACAATCATATACATGATCGTAGTAACTTTCCTTTTCCCCGAAACGCATGTACAAAAATCGTATAAAAATAATTTTCAATTGCTTTACGTTTTTGATCAATTCGAAACGGAACATTGTAAAATTGCACGCTATCCCACGATCGTTCAGACCACTTGGATCGATAAAAAAAATATCGTCGATGTTCTCGCTACGCTAAATATTAAAAATCTCTCCGGCGAAAGAACTGCAAAAAATTTTTCGCAAAAATTTGATGGATCAACAATTCGTATATTTCGAAAGAAAATTGAAAGAAACTCATCGATCGGACGCATGTTGCGAAATGTTTTCTTCTCATCTTCACACGCAATATCAAATAAATCATATAAATTAATGTACATACATATACATGTAATATATCGGTATATCGGTGTCAGTCGTGCATTTCATTAAAAATTCGTTTGCAATCCCGCTTCATTCAATGTAAACTCTCCTTTTCTCAATAAAAAATATTTCCATCTGTCTTTCTAACATTCTCAATAATTTCAGGTGCGTGGAGTATTCGCTTTCAATCCAGAGGATTAAAAAAGAAATAAAAGGAATAGAAAGAAGCGAGCGATGCTCACATAAAGCATAAAGTGTAAATCACACCTCTGACAAATGATGTCGATTTTTGCAATTGATTATCTCTCATGCATAGTAATATGATTGAAAAAGAAAGAGAAGATGATTTTCGAGAATTAAAAGAATTTAACACATTGCCAAATCATTCTCGAATGAAACGACTCGCGTTTAATTGTTTACAATGCAGAATACGCAAATTGTTTGTCCTTTTTTAAATAACACGCGAATCTCTCACGATCTGGCAATGCGCAGGTATTAAAATTAACTTAAAAAAAAAAACGTCGCTACGTGGACTCATTAAAACTACTCTCAATTAACTTAAAACAAACACTGTAAAAAATACGATAAGTCAGTTTTTATCAAACTTCCTGACCGATTACGATTAAAACGAGATATTTTAAAATAATTATTAATTCGCAACAGTAGCCTGCTTAATTAACATCCTCAATTTTCTCGTAGGAAAAGCACGCCGGTGAATTTAAGAAAAAATTGCTCCTCTATAAAAATCAGAGAACACGACGACCCTATCATACTTTTTTTCGCCTGCCTCCATTGAAACGAGGATCGGAGGATAATGAGAAACCTGTTTGCTGATTTCAGCGTTACATAAAATTGCAAAACTACGACCGATCTACGCGATTGTGTTGGCCGGGCAATTTCTGTCGGGAACCGGCGTGAACTGAATTCAAGTGCGTCGTTCGTAATTCTGCTGAAGCACAGAGAGACGGGGAGAGCTGTGAAATTTCCCTTTCAATTGCCAAACAGCGCCGCCTTTTGCCTGAACTGCGCTCGCCTCGCCGCCTTCTCCTCTTCTTCCCGTTTTCGCTCCTCCTGCTCCATGCGGATCTCATCCTCGAATTTGCTTGACTTCCGCAGCTGCTCGATCTGGAAATCACGATAATGCATCATTAACACCACGAGGATAACGTTGATCAACGAATCCAATTTGCTTAATCCTGAATTTGTCATCGCTGTGATTCGTTCCATCGTTGTTGTTAAAGACAATGGTGCGTATTAACTTATGAAACGAACTTGAGAAATAACATGTTCTTCGTTACGTTTAGATAATTTATGACTATCTATAACTCTCTTATAAAATTTCAGTTAACTTCGAGTGCAATAGCAATAGCAATTGCAGACTGTGAAGACTTGTGCTAACCCCTACATTCTTGCATACTTACAAAACCAATTAATTTAAGTAATATATTATTCTCACTAGTTAATTTAAGTAATATATTATCTGATTAATTTAAGTAACGTATTATATTTACAGTGGGAAGCATAGTTGAACCAACAACGATGGAAAAGAATTTTATTCCAATAGAAATAATGGAAGCGTTTGTACCTTGGCCTCGAAAAAGTGTTTAGCCCCTGTCACTCCTACTTCGTCCACGTCGACCTCGGTAAGACGTGCGAGCTGACCCAGCCCAGAATCCTGTTCCAATTCGCCAGCACGTGCCTTACGATAGATCAGTAGAAACTGTAACAAGTTATAAATAACTGCATTAGATAAAACCAGGCTAATATTACAGTAGTATCGTCAATCATTTTCCTAATGAGTCTCAATGAAATTTGACAGAATACAACAAACCTGAGCGCCTGGTATAAGTTTGAGACAACTTCCACGTGCTAACTTCTACATTTTTACATACATACAAAACTAATTAATTTAAGTAATGTATTATTCTAACTAATTAACTTAAGCAATATATTATTAATATAATACAATATATTATTTATTATATAAATATATAATATATTATAATTCATTTATATAATATAAAATATATATAATATATTGCTCAAGTTAATTAGTTAGAATAATATATAATATATATCTAATTAATTTAAGTAATATATTATATTTACAGTGGGAAGCATAATTGAATCAACGACTCGACAGAAAATCATAGACAATTTAGACTGAAGTCTCCTCAAAATAAAATCAGCACCAAGTCTCGAAAGTTCCAAGAGTTTCGGTGTCTTGCTCGAAGATTCGATTATTGAAAAATCAAAATCGTAAACTCATCTCTATAGTGTGCGTTATCATCCGACCGGAAGATACTATCGTTCGACAGCCCCGCCAGTACGTGTCGTTTCGATATAAAAACGATCAGCAGCCAAGGAAACGATGAGTAAGAAAAGAAGGTGGAAGATTGGTCAGCGTGTGTCCGCGAGAGTTCAGTGACGCGGGGTGATTCACGATGATCTATGAAACCGATCGCGTGTACGCGGATCGAACGCTTTGTTCGTTTGCACGCCACGAGAAGTCACGTAGGAACGTGCATCTGTGTGTGCATTTGCATCGGACAACAGGGCCTTCCTACGGCAACGCGTGCCTCAGCATTTGCGATTTATCCTTCCCCACTGCGACAGCCTGGCGAAAGTTCCCTTTAACGACACGCAAGTATATTTTGCTTCGCACGCTCCGATTCTTTTTTTTTCTCTCTCTCTCTTCTTCTTTAGAAGCCGTTGCTGAAGACTCAAAGAAGTTCTTCATCCGACGTTCTATAATCCGAAATATTTTTGGCACCGTTGACAAATCTAAGGAGAAAAGGATAAAAAAAAGGTTTGGGTTAGGTGTGAATTTTTTTAAAATCCAAGAAGAATTGCTCCATTCGCTTAAAACAATCTTGTTTCACAGCTGATGATTTGACACTTCGTTTCAACAGAGAAGAAAGAAGAAGCCAGTTTACAGGAGATTAAGAAGAGAAGGAAAGAAAGGAGAGAATCTCACTCTTTCAATAAAGAAGGAGAGCATTTCACTGAGACAGAACGGCTTGGCTCCCGTGAAGAGCAAACACTGTGGCCACAGTGAAGGAGCAACATGCCAAACACTCCATGGGGCGAGACTATTTTTATGGAGCGTGCATTGGGCGGCGAGTGTGCGACAACTCTCTGGTCAAATTAGAAAACGTAACAATTTCCACTTTGTTGGAGAATCAAGTTTGAAACGAAGCGGTTATTTCGTTAGGAATGGACAATAATTAGACTGAGGTTTATGTTACAATAATAGCGAGGTCCGTGTCCATTATTTATTCGAAAGTATTCGCCAGTGCGCCGACTTCCGGGAAAACGAACCTGTTACGTAAACAGAATCGCTTCCGGGTGCTTTTTATTTACATAGTTCTTCACCGGTTGCATATTTCATTATAGAGCGCGTTGAAAATGATCGCGATCAATGGGTGAAATGGCAAACCTCGCGGAAGGAGATCCGTCCGTCGCCGTCCTCGTCCACTTCCTGTATCATTGCCTTCAAACCGAGGTGAGTTTGCGGCGCTCCCAAGACCTCCATCATGCGCTTCAGCTCTGCTAAATCCAAGAAACCATCGTGGCCAGCGTCAAACCTGAAAAATATATCCAATACGATTAGTTGGGAACTCTGTCTTTGGAAATGTTCTACTGTTAGAGACGACCAAACACGTTCTAATTGTAAGGGCAAACTCTAGGATCGTTCTCTTTCTCGTCGAAGATTAGATAAAAGATGGAAATCTTGTTTCAACTCTTGCCTTAAGATCTGTTCCGATCTTTGCTATTGAATAAGCCCAACTCTCGAGTCACAAAATGTCGTTACAAAGTGTAATACGATCGAATTCGACGTTCGTATTCTAATGATACGAAGGGGACAACACGCCCCCTATTTCAGTGCCCCCTTTCATTTCATGAAAGTACTATTTAAGTATGCTAAAATACTATAATACTAATGTACTTACATAATATTATAATACTAAAATACTAAATTACTATAATACTAAAATACTAAATTACTATAATACTAAAATACTATAGTACTAATATACTTACATAATACTAAAAGCACTATTTAAGTATTTTATATTATAACACTAATATATTTAATATTATTTAAGGGTTTTATATTATAACACTAATATATTTAATACTATTTGAGTATTTTATATTATAATACTAATATATTTAATACTATTTAAGTTTTATATTATAACATTATTTTATGTTATACTACTAATATAGTTATATAATACTAAAAATACTATTTAATTATACTAATTAAAAAGTATATAAAGTAAAGTATATTTAAGTATACTTAAAAAGTATATAAAGTAAAGTATATTTAAGTATAATTAAAAAAGAAATGTGGTACTGAAATTTAAAATTTCTGTTTAAAAAGAAAGCGAAAATACATATAACTTAATCCAGTTATATGATTTTCAATCGTAAAATTAGGCCAGCTTCTTTAGGTTCAGAATCTGAGTTATGATAATGGTTTATCAGATAACGACACGCGCTCCTTTTTTTTTTCTTCTTCGTTCGATCAACGCGCCAAAGTAATTTGACCGAGCTTATACTCAGCTGGATAAAAGGAACTCTAGAAGTAAATAAAATTGAGCCAGCTTGAATTTTATCGTAAACTATTCTTCACGAGAAAAAAAAAAAAAAAAATGGAATTTGAATCACGTTGCGCAATCACTGTTCTATACGCACGTCCATTGATTAAATTCTCGATGATTCACGGTTTCCGACTCCTCTTACGACTCTTTTCCCCTGCGTTTCTCGACTCACTTTGATTGATAACAGGCTGGTAATTGTATGTGATTAACATTTAATTTCCAGTCCGAACGATATCTGGGGAAAACAATTTCCAGTGGCTCGTGTTCGAACGATAGGCTTCTTTGGCCAGAATAATTTAGAGAATACTATGAATTTTAATAACTTCGCTTGATTTCCTCCTTCCTTCTTTTACGCGTATCTCTCTTCGTATTCTAAAAAGAAAGAGCAGAGTTCTGTGAAACAGAATTCTATGAAACGAGCAGAGTAGACAAAAAAATTAGAAGTCAAAATTTTAAAAGCAGAATTCTATGGAAAGAGAAGAGTAGACAAAAAATTAGAAATCAGAGTATTAAGAGCAGAATTTTATGAAAAGAGCAGAGTAGACAAAAAATTAAAAATCAGAATTCTATGAAAAGAACAGAGTAGACAAAAAATTAGAAGTCAGAGTTCTAAGAGCCGAATTTTATGAAAAGAGCAGAGTAGACAAAAAATTAGAAATCAAAATTCTATGAAAAGAGCAGAGTAGACAAAAAATTAGAAGTCAGAGTTCTAAGAGCAGAATTTTATGAAAAATTTGAAAATTTGATCGACGAGAAGTCTCTGATAACTATAAAAAGAAGAGAGAGTTCGAATTTTCAATCTGCAATTTAATTTTTATTTCATGCTGTGTTCTCTTCTCGTTCAAGAAACATTGGAATATATACGGCACTGTATATCTATTTTTGAGCACTCTGAATTAATGAACAAGTTAATCGAATCGTTGGCATATAAGGCTAGAAGCTCTTTTCGTTCCGAGGTGAAGAGCAAGAATTGTTCGAAGGTCGAGGTTACGCGTTTGTAAGCATGGTCAAACAGCGCTGATCAATATGAGTGAAAGAGAACTGCAAACACATTTGTCCGAACTCGGGTTATCTCCGTTTGTATGTACGTCTGAATTGTTCACAGATCTCACAGCTAATTTCAATATTCGACTGATAAGCTTGTTTAATCTGCCTTGCTGACGTATCTGTCTCGAACTCATCGCCATACAATTGAATCTCTCTTTTTTCCTTTATTTTCAACGATTCGATATTTGGTTCATGGAATTATCTATAGTTATACTTAAACGACAATGCACGCTAACTTCGGTTTAGTAATTTTTAATACTTCTTTGTACTTAATGCTTCTCAATATTCTTATTTTCTTTATGTAATAATTTTTATATATATGTTTAATAATTTATATATCTATTCTTGTATATATTTATATTATAAAGAAGCATTAAGAATATAATATGAATATATTATATTTTTGTAATTATAATTATATTCTTAAAATTATAGTGTAGTGTTATAAAGAATATATATATATACACATATCTTAATATTCCTAATACTTCTTAATAACACTACACTATAGTTTTTAAGCATCGTTATGTAACTATAAAGCTCCATTGCAACGTAATTTCTCTCTAAGTTGTTTATCAAACTCTGTGAAATCCTATTACATTAACGCCATTCCGTTTCAATAAAATTAACATTGATCGCAATAATTTGCCAAAACTATTACTTCGAGTTGAATTTCTCAACTCTTTCTGAGTGACTCCAGAGAGTTGCTAGATTCTGCAACCTAGAAGAGATGACCTCCAACTTCTGACTTTTATTCCACGTTTGACCTTTCGATCCATTTTATCTCTCTCTCTCTCTCTCTCATTCACACTCCATTTATCTCACTTCCAACGAAAGATCCCCTCCACAACAACAGCAAAAGAAACAGAAAGAACCTACAAGAGAAATTTCATTTTCCATCGAATTTTTCATAATTTTCATAATACAAAAGTTTCACAATGTTGTTTCAATATTGTACCTGTTTTCCGTAGATTATAGAAAACGATCGTAAACGGGAATTGTTTGAAACCAGGCCAGCCAAGTTATTATACAACTATATGCAGGAGCAAACCAGGTATTGTTATCGCAAAATCGATTCTTGCACTATTGGCCGTGCACGATTCGTTTCCCAAGACTGTCCAGAGGGAATCGGGTCAAGGTGGCTGCCTAGTGACTTCTCGTCCGATATGCTCCTCTCACCCTTTTCTAGTACCATTCTTTCCGAGATCGATGCAGCGGAGATTTTCTTCTTTTGCGCTCGCGAACACGTCATCGTGTTTCTGCGCTCGTTAAGATTAAAAAAAAAAAAAAAAAAAAAAACGCCTCCAACTGTTCCCACTTTCTGTCTTCTCGATCGACTGGTCCTGATCCAAAAATTGGCCATTTATCTTCGACAATTGCCACCTGAATTTCAATCTTTTTTAAGTTCTGTTTGTACAGACAGAATAAATATTTGAAAATGCAAAATTATCACTTTCAGTCGATTCGGAGGCAACTGACTGATTGTGATGGCCAAAAGTATTAAAAAAAAAAAATGGTCAAAGATTTCGGGATTTCAGGTTTTCGCTTGTCCCAAATTCGTGGTTTTGTAAATAATCCAGATTATCCGTCCGAGCTCCAAGATTGGAAGTCAAATTGGAAACTTTTCGATCGAGGTTTCAAGTTGCAAAATACGGATCAATGAGGTATCTGACGAAGAAAAAACTCTACACTCGGCTCGGGAGTGTAACAAAAGAGGAACGGCGTTAATGGAAAAGTGCAATCGAGCGTGACTGCTGAATAGAAATGAAGAAAAAAAAAGAAAGAAAGGTCTTATTGTGCACGATCCTTAATATACGATGGATAGATGGCACGTTCTCGTGGTGGCGGCGCGTTGTATGTTGGAGATGTGCACTTGATTTCCGCTGAATCGCGGAAAACCTTTAAACCCGGATGAACCGAACGATAATGGCCGCTATTCAATGAATAGTCGGCTGCAGGTTTCAAAGCGAAGACAATGCGGAAACAACGTGCATCCGCAACAAATTTTCTCATAATCGACAACACTGAAACAAAGTTGCAACAAAGAAGCTCCGAAATTGCAGCTAATAAATTGAAAACGAATGACGAGGTCAGAAGAAATGAGATGAAGACAGCTGAATTCGAAAATGAAGCTTCGAAATTACAGCCACAAACAACAAAGTGAGGAGAACTGGGTTAAAGAACAGCTCGATCCTCGACAACAGGGGAATACCCTGGCACTGTTTGAGTATGATCTATATGAAAATATCTTCACGACACCAGGTCTGCCAGGTCGAATGAATTCTACACACTTTGCTTTTACGTATTCAGAACGCGTGACTTCTGCGAATGGTTTTGAAGTAACGGTTTCGCCTGTCGTTGTACATACATACAACAAACAAGCTGGCGCCAAACTTGGGACCGCATTCCGCGAGGATGAACCAATTTTCTTCCTAATAAACCGCTGGATGATACTTCTGATCGTTGGTGGGCTTGGGAAACCAAGCAAACTCCGATCGATTATGCATTCGGCGAGAAAGTGAAGCGGGCGGATATAATTAGGCTTTCGTTCCGTAGCGTTTCATCCATAACGAACAATGCGTCATGCCCCTCCCCCGTTTCAGATGGAAAGTTCTATCGGTTTCCATCGCGTGGATTCTTTCATAATATCGTATACCTCACGTACGAGTTGCTTCACGTATAACTGTCACGCCAAATAATTTAACTTCGCACATGTTCGAAGAAAGAAAAGATTGAGAATTGAAGTCTATTGAAGTTTGCCTTTCGAACTTAGAACCCTAGGTTCGTGTCTCATTCCTTGGATGAATCTGTCAATCAGGCAGTGCTAACACTCGAGTCAGTAATAGTCTCCCTAAAGTGACCTGTGAACAGTTATTTATAGGACAAATTCCAGTAGCTACTCTCTTGGATCATAGACAAAAATATAAGAAGACCTGCTGAGAATAGAACGGTACTCTCTTTTCCATCCTTGGCCACGATTGCAGCGTAGAATGAAACTTACTCTGAAAATTACAATTGTTGTTCCTCGACTTGCGACAATCCAACACGTTGTCAGATAATGAGAATGTTGGGACTCGTAGAACTCTGGTCTAGAAGTGGTGCCATAAAAGTCTTCAAAATGCAAGTAGCAATGAATTACCAATTGACTGAGAAATTACTAATGTTCCTAGAACAAAACGAGCAATATGTACATACTCACGAAAGAGATCAGACCTCAGTTGATAGCTTTCATCCGCGGTTTCATAGAGTCGGCATAGAGTGGCCATTCGATTCAATCACGCGTCTCATTTGAAAATTTAATCGGCGGGATTGGCGATCAAAGTGTGCAACGTGTGACGAGTGAATCACGTACTTTCAGAGTGTATGTACTTACTTGCTTAGACGCGTGTGAATCAAAGCGTTACGTGTACCTACGGTTAGTCACGGTCAGAACGAATTCAACGCGCGCGCAGTCTGACGACTTCCGGTACCGCGCAACCGACCCCCGCTGTCGCGCGTAGAATTTGGAAAACCATTGGCCAACCTTTCGAACGTGCCCCCCATGAAAAATAATTTCTACGTACGCACGCACACGCGTACGCATGAAGGCTGGAACAATGTAACGCAGGCACGTTGTGCATCGTGTTATGTACCGGTTTTCACGATTACAGATCGTGTCATATCGTGTAAGCGACGCACAGCCGGAATTTCTACCTCCGACGCGTGTAATTTAGCGGTAACGAGAGAGAGAACGCCTGTATGTATGTACCTCTCTCCTCGTGCGGCTCTCCAACTTGTTTGGTCGTCTGTAATTTATTACAAACAGCTTCAAGTTTCGGTGCTTCGGCACGTCGGATCATTTATCGATTTATTAGCCCCTCCGTAGAACGGTAATGGAAAACAGCGTATCCAATATAATTCAAATATTGCCACGTCAGGCTTCTCGCTGGAAAATTTTGTTAAATTTAATGACCAATAATTATTTTTATCATTCAGTAGTTGAGAAGAAGTATGTTAATTTTCTGAGAAACGGATGAACAACTGCTGAGTAGCTAAACAAATATTATAAACGACAAATAATGGGATATTAAAGATATTTACCAACTGCAACACAACCAGCATCGTGATCATAATTTAAAGGCGGAAGTAATTTGTCCTGATATGTTGTGTTATTGTTTCATGAAGCTAATGTATAATAATGTCATGCGCCATGCATACCCAGTGAACGCTGTTGCAATTTATATGTATATCTTCCACGTGGGAATTATACAGCGATTCCTATATTTTATTTTCTTTTTTTTCTTTTTTTTTGTATTTTGATTGTATTTCCTTGGATCATGAATCGCAAGAGTATATATGTATAAATCTGTATGCATTTAAATGTAGATTTTATCTTGAATACTAGGACAGATATTATTAGAGCAGAACAGACCTTTATGCTCATGTATACTCTTCTATCTTGATAATTTTAAAGGCCAGCTCGCTTCCACAAAAGAAGAGAGCCTGCGAGTGAAAATTTTTCCCAAATATCGAGCAGGAAATAATAACGAGAGAACGGTGACAGAGCGTCGAGAAGACCAATGTTTCGATAAGTAACTAAATATTTATCACGCTCGACTATAAATACATATCGCTGTTTTTGTAATGTGCTGTGATACACAGGTTCGCTGACATTTGATAAAACGTAGAAGTTTGTCACTTGCTGGTGGATGCGACCATGTAGGTTGCGTCTATCTGCTCACCACTTCCGTTTTCAATAATACCATCTCACCCCACTTTCTCTTGAAATTAACACCGACCACGGGATCAAATCAGAAGTAACAACTTTTCTAGGTTAGAAAGAATACCTTTTACACTGTTATCTTTTCACGACCACAAAAATTAATTATTTTGTAATTAAACTGATTGAGATTCATCAAAACTTACTTATTATTTACTCAGGTTACTTCCACTTTCAATAATCATCAGCTACGAGATTAGATCAGAAGTAATAATTTTCCTAGGTTAGAAAAAATATTTTCTACACTATTTCTATTATATTATCTACGTTATTTTTTCACAACCAGAAAATTAATTATTCTGTAATTAAACTGATTGAGATTCATCAAAACTTACTTATTATTTACTCTCCAATTATTTACTCAAGTTATTTCCGTTTTCAATAACCATCTCCCTCCACTTTGTCGTGAAATTAGCCACGAGATCAAATCAGAAGTAATCATTTTCCTAGGTTAAAAAGAATATTTTCTACACTGTTATTTTTTCACGACCACAAAAATTAATTATTCTGTAATTAAAATGATTGAGATTCATCAAAACTTATTTATTATTTACTCAGATTCCGCTTTCAATAATCATCTGACCTCACTTTGTCTTGAAATTAGAACCAACAACGAAATCAAATCAAAAGTAATAACTTTTTTAGGTTAGAAAGGGCATATCTACAGTATTTTTTTTTTTTTTTTTTTTTTAGTTTTTTTACGACCAGAGAAGGTTAATTATTCTGTGATTAAAAAACGATTGAAAACTTACTTAACGTCTTCCAATTATTTACTCAGGTCGACACAAGAAAATGAGTTTTACATTAGGCTACGATTTAAAATCGTTTAATTCCTACTTTCAACGCAGATGAGAAGAGTCATTAAGAAATTAGAATTATCGCGACACGTATCTTGGAGAAAATGGATTTTTGTGAAGTTTCCATCGTTAAAAATAGTTAATTGGTACGTAATTGTATCCAAACGGACGGAACACTGGTTTTGTGTAACACTATCTGAAACACAGCTAGAAATCGCGTTGTGAAATTCGCGGATACCGAACGACCTTTTACTTTTACGCGACAAAGAAACCACTGGTGCTGTTCGTTATCCGGCTTGATTGCGGTTCGAACCCGTGCTTGTTTCCCATCGAGTAAAAGTCTCTTTTTAAAAACCTCTTTAGCTGCGGTCAACGCCAAAATGAAATCGATCGCATCGGCCCGGTGCTTGTAAATTAAATGTCTAAATAAATTGGACAAAATCTTCCCTCGGTACAAAATTTTAAGAATTATTTAGAATTATTTGTTTTGCCTGGGTTATACTTAAAATATATCTAAAACTGAGAAAATATTGCAATTTTGGGACAAAGAGGTTAACTACTTGCGCTGGCAACTGATTGCGGACCATAACGAGTGACCAAACTGTCTACAATAATTCGTCGCTTTCTTTTTGAACTCGTCGGTATGATATTACTGGATAGAAATTATTGTGAAGTAATAAATTTATTATTTGTCTGTGTTATACTTAAAATATACCTAAAACTGAGAAAATATTGCAATTTTGAGATAAAAAATTGTCGACGTGGGGTGGCATTCGCGCATTATTTGGATTTTTGCAACTCTCGGGAAAAAGGTATCCTCACTTTCCCTTCCATTACAAACGAAAAAAACAAATTCTTGACTGTCAAAGTAGAGATTTGAAAACTTAAAAAAAAAAACTTAAAAAGACTTTGAAAACATTAAAAAAAATCTTAGAAAGAAACTTTAAAACTTTAAAATAAAACCAACACCATTGTGCATGATTTTTTTTTTTTTTACGAAGTTCTATCTGTTGAAATTATCGACAATTGTCATTGATACGGTTATGCTCTTCGCTGCGGTAAACGCTCCAAATATTTGTTTCTCTTCCGCAATAAAATAAAGTTCGAAGAACTTTTGTATAGTACAATTTCATGATTCACCGTGTACACAACATACGTAACGCAGATTTATCGCATAACAACTACTCTTTGTCAACAACCAGAGCCCAAGCTAAAATTGTCACCTCAATACTTCCAATGAATCAGACTCGACAAATACCTGATTTACGCACTCTGTCATTGACACTTCGATGAATCATAAAACTCACTTGTACAAAGTGATTTTTTAATCACTTTCTTCGTACGATCTAACTCTGTTCGAAAACAGAGGAGGAAAGAGGGCAAGAGAAACGTTCTTTGACGTTTCTGCGCAACATGACTAGACGTCATCACTTAACTAAAGACGAAAAATTGCCACAATAAGCGGTTTCCAAGTCTCTTGGAGTCGTTTTACGATTGCTGTGGCTCCTTTTTAAGAGTATTTACAACCGCGAGATTAAATTGCATCCGCGCGTGGGATGGTAAGGTGAGCAGTGCTTACGTCGCCACTCGACTCGAATTCTTCTAAACAGAGAGCACGATTGGAGCAAGGACGCGTTCGAAGAAGCACAAGGAAGAAGCCAAGGAATTTATTTTTGTCATTTTCGATTGGACTTTCGTAAGGATGCGGAGTTGTTACTCTCCAAAATCGGCGAATTGAACGAAAGAAAGAAAGACACGCCCGATCTCTCTCGTACAGCAAGTATATTCACTTTATATATTATTGGGATCGTGTCTCAAGCTCTATGTACACAACAGAAGAAACTCATCAACCGAACTGTCGGTTAAAATGTTTCGAGCGCTGAACTGTCGATTTTACTGTGTTAAACCTGGAATTTAAACTCTTAATGAGATTCACTTTCATCGTAATGGGCTACAAAACTAGTCCTCCCGTGATAAATTTCACTCGTTCGATTCGAGACTGCTTCACATCGACGATTACTTCTTGAAATCTATCTATAGCCTCTTCCTTACGTGACTCTTCGCAATTTCTAGAGATTCCTCGTAGAAATCAAAGTTCACTTGGCTTAAAATTTCGATGAAATTCTTTGGAAAGTATCCGGAGATCGTCGGGGCTAGAGGTCGAAGAAAGTATCGCCACATGCGGTGGAGTGATGAATTTCAACTGGGTTGAGGCTTTTGCGAGAGGCAGAGAAGCGGTCTGGCCCGTGGTTAGACCGACAAAACCAAGAACGCGAGGAAAAGTGGGTTTCTCCAATGGAGAGGACGAGGACTCCTTGGACAGAGTCTTTCAGGCGTCTTTCCGGCCGAGGTGCCATCCATCGCGCGCGACACGTTCGTCCACGTGCTTGCGGACTCGCGGTGAAACCTTCGTGGTGTCTCGGATTTACCGAGCTATCGCCTCCCGATACGTGCACTCGCGTAAATAATTTATCCGGCGGATTTCCTAAAGAGAAACGTGCTGTTTCGATCCTCGGGGTCCATTTCTTGACGATTCAGTACACTTTCTCGGTAATCGACCTCGTTGGACACTGCGGTCTTGGAAAGACGAAAGTCTTAGAGTGTATCATAAACGTTACAATTGCGTGTTTATTTTACGTGACTTACTCCAAAAAAAAAAAAAAGAGAATCGACTCTTCCGCAAATTAACACTATAATTGTACCAAAGTGGTCGAAATAACAGATTTATAATTTTATAACAATGTATTCTTGGATACTCGAATGATTTTTAGTCAGTTTAACCTTTTGCGCCACGCACGTCGAGAATTTTTTATTCCAAAATTGCAATATTCCATTAGTTTTGAGTAAAACAAAAAATAAATTTATTACTTCTCAATAATTTCGATTCAGTGATATCATACCGACCGAGTTCCAAAAGAAAGCGGCGAATTATTGTATACGGTCATTTTGGTCACTCGTTACGGTCCGCAATCGGTTGCCAGCGCAAGTGATTAAAAATCGTTTGCAACTTCGACTCCTGTTCATCGGGAGTTGTTTTTTTCTCCGTGTTTCGGCGAGCACCATATCTACTCTTTCGTGTATTCTATTCTGTTTGTTTGGTGTATTCTTGGATACTCAAATAATTTTTAGTCAGTTTAACCTCTTGCGCTGAAATGACGTGCCACGCACGTCGAAAATTTTTTGTTCCAAAATTGGAATTTTTTCATTCCTTCAGTTTTGAGTATATTTCAGTAAAACGAAATAGGCAAAACAAATAATAAATTTATTACTTCTCAATAATTTCGATCCGGTGATATCATAACAACGAGTTCCAAAAGAAAGCGACGAATTATCGTATACGGTCATTTTGGTCACTCGTTACGGTCCGCAATCGGTTGCCAGCGCAAGTGGTTAAAAATCGTTTGCAACTTCGACTCCTATTCATCGGCACTTTTTTTGTTTTTCTTTTTTCGTGTTTCGGCGAGTATCGTATCTACTCTTTCTTTTTTTTTTCCACTCGTTGAGTTTGTACATTCGTGTATTCTATTCTGTTTGTTTGGTGTATTGGACAAATGACGAAATAAGCGTGCACGCCGGGGGTTCAGTTTAGAAGATGCAGCGCGAGTGGCCCGGCCACACATCCACCCAGTTTCTGTGGCTTGTCAAACCTGCTGACTCTCCCCCCGGGTTGACTCCCTCAGAAATACCTGCAAGAAGAACAAGAGAGACGGAGGACAGACCTCGAGAGCCAGGTTTGCTCCGCGTCCTGGCTCCTCCAAACACACCTTGGGCTGTGCACGGGAGAGTTCACGGCGAGAACACTCTCTCCCTCTCTTTCTCTCTCTTTCTTGCTCTCTGGCCCGCCACGAAATAACTACGTCATCAATTCTACCATCTGCGGTTTCGTAACGACGCTCGCGTGACTCGCGATCGTTCTCTTCCCTTTTTCCACGTTCGCGAAAATCTGGCCGAGGCTCGATCGTAACTCTCTGGGAACTCACTGTGAACACACGCTCGCGCGTGTTTCCAGTCTATTCCTGGACGAGCAATCGTTTTCGGATGTTTCTTTTGGGGGGTGGTGGGGGATCGCCAACAGCGTTCGAACGTGAATGGTAGGATACTCGACACGGTTGTTGTACGTACAACTTGAAGATACTTGGGATTCGGTAACTTTTCAAAAAAATTCTACGAAACTCGCGAGAGCAACTTGTGCAGCAATTTACTTTCGTATTTTTCTACCGGTGATGAGAGGGAATATTTCGATAATTACGAATCGAAGAGCAGAAGAACGTCTTATTAATTATTCAGTGTATCTGACCGGGGAGAGAAACGTAATGAAGAGTCGCGATTCACTCTCGATTCCCTCACGCTTTATCTTCGAATCTTTGATAACAAACTTAAAGAACTTATCGATCAACTATATTGTCTATTCGACAAGTTCTTATTTCCATGGTAATTTGCTCGATCGTATAGACATTGATTATTATTTAGGGACATTTTCGGATGTCATCAACAGTCTAGTTATATAAATAGAAAAAAAAAAAAGTGAATTGTAATGTTCAATTCAGTTTCCGGCGGGACATTTAAAATGGCCATTCCCCCCCCCCCCTCTTCGCAAGAAATATGTATTATTTATTAGAGAAGTTTTACAAATAATCTGTGCAACTTTGCTATTTTAACACCGCAACAATATTGCTGATTTCGGATTTTCGTTCTTTAATTTTTAAAGGATGCGGAATATTCTTGTTGAAATTAATATCAATTTCTGTTTAGACAGGAAACGGAGTAATTGTATAAATCTATTTATATCAATTGTCGGATACGGATATTCTAGCGTTGATAGATATTTTCATTTGTTTATTTATATTAATATCTTTGCTAGCCAACCAAAGTCATATATGTATACAGTGGGGTGCAAAATTGAGTCAGTAACAAAAATTTTTAAGAAAAATATTTTTTATTGTTAAATAAAGTATAAAATCATGAAAATAAACTTGACTATCTAGTTAAGATTCTATATAGTTTTAGGAAACTGAAGCTATTTTTTAATCCTTAAGATTAGGTTTCTTCCTGGCTAAAAAAATTGAAAAACATAGAATCAATTTTGCACCAGAATTTTTTCATAGTCAGATTTACAAGCTTTATCATACCTTAATATTTTGTCCACAAGCCATTTGCTTAGATAATGTATATGTATATATATGCATAACTACCGCGTTAACAAAATAAATCTTTAATAAATCTACACTATAATTCGAGTGATATAAACAAAAATGAAAATAAAACTAATAAACTAAAAATAAAAATAAAACTAACTGTAATTAAATAAAAATAGCGACAAAAATAAATAACCAACTCTCAAATGAAACATGTCTGACGTAGAACGAAATGATAGATGTAGCACCAGGCTCCAAGATCGTAGATCGAACAATGCTGTGTTCGAGCTTTTCTACGCACAAAGAAATACCATAGAAAAATAGAGAGACCCTTCGCGCTGAAGGAAAGATATGGGTCCAAGGTTCTCGTTCCAAGAACCCCCACAACACACTCGTACAGCGTGGACAATACAACCCGACGATAAAAATGTTCACTACTTACGACTCGTCTGTAAAAATTACAGCGGCGAAGGGGCAGGGAGGAAGGGAGAGGAAAAAAAAAAAATAAAGAAATAAAGAAACGACGAAGGCCTGGCTCACCTGTTGAAGGTCTCCTCGTACTGTTTGATCTCGCGGCGGGACAGCTCGTGGAACTCCGTGTAAACGTTGACGAATTTGTACTGCTTTTTCACCTCCTTCCCTTCCTCGAGCTCCTCGTTGATCCTCTGCCTCCTGCTAAGCAGATTACTGAGCTCAGCGTCCGCCGGCATCCTGATCGCTTCCACTTCCACTCCTCGAATCTCTATCTAGCGATTTCGATCTCCGGCTCGCGATATATATAGATCTTGTGCTTGCCGATCGATTCGAAGGTACACACGAAGGAGATTTGAAAAGTATTAGCGTAAAAGGGAAAATTGGGAGGGATGCCAAGAAGGCTGTACAGCTGTCAAACTGGACACAGAAAAGAGAGAACGATGCGACCGGCGCGACGAGCCAGCGTGCACTGACGGTGTGCTGGGTGGCGCGGTTGGTAGGTACCTTTGGAAACCAGGGCCGTAGCAACGCGCGTATGTACCTACGACTGCAAGATTTATTATCGGAGCACATGAAGTTTCGTTTGTTTGATGAATATCAAATGTTGTTCTACTATTTGTTGATTATTTTGTTCTATTATTTGTTAAATTGTTTGTTTGATATTTTGTTCTATTATTTGTTTGTGTTTTTTTATTTGATTTTTTATTTGTTTATTTGTTACATTGTTTGTTTGATATTTTGTTCTATTCTATTATTTGTTTTGCTTGACGAATATCATCTGATCAAATTTTCGTTCTGTTTGTCGATTATTGACAGAAGAAGAAGGAGCTTGAGGTTCTTTTCGTTTCGTGGATATTTTGAGACAGAACCTTACTATTAACGTTAGTCGTTTTGAGATAGAAAATCATCATTAACAATAATGATCATGTGCTACTTTTGCTTAAATATTTTGCCCCCTTTGTACTTCGTATTTTTATTGAAATTTTGTTGCAGAAATTTTGAACTAGCACATTTTTTAGAACATTGACATCAATCATTAACAATAACGATCATGTCGACTGAGTGATTATATGCTATTCTTTGCATAAATATTTCTCATCCCCAGTATTTCGTATTTTTATTGAAATTTTGTTAGCAGAAACCTCGGACAGCACCATTATAGTTTGGCTATTAAGCTCGGAGACTTGGCTTACGTATTCATATCATTCATATGCTCGCAATTATTTTTCTACGTAGCGTGAGCACATACAGAACGGAATAGATTAAAGAGTCACATTTTGGCGTTTCAATCGTCATTCCTTTCCACGGAAGTTGAACCGTATCAGTTCGATGGATCGATCGGTTAACCTTCGAAGAATTTTCACGGATAATCATCGCGGACAGTTGATTCCGCGAGTCGCGAAAACTTTCCTCCTGTTTCAGCGATCTGAAAATACAAACGTCGTCCCTTGATACTTGCTCCTAAATGCAAAAATTTCGCGAAATAAGTATACTCGGCATAAAAGAATTTTATTTCCCATATCTATTGACCTTAACTGTACGAAAACAGTTTCTTATACGTATCGACACGCGTATTTACTCTGATTCGATTTGAAAGACTCTGGACTGGTAATAATCATCAGTCGTTCGCTGATATTTACGTTGGAAACATTCACTACACACGGCTCTAAAATGTAAGCTCTCGAACGGAACGGAAAAACGAATGTTTGAAATATTTTGGCAGATTATCGTGTCGTGAACGTCCAAAGTTTTTAGACTGTGCAAGATTAATTAATTAAACGCAAGCGCAAAATCGCGGAAATTTTGAATAGCGACGAGTGAATCGACTTAAAATACGACTTAGAATTGTCGAGTTATACAATCGTGAATCGATTGCAAAGAATTACTAAATTATTAAATTTTGAACGGCGATAAGTCGTCGAAATTCGAAGCAAAGCGAAAATCTACCTGCATTGATTTCAAATCTACCTACATTGAGTTGGTTAAAATCTGCAAAAGAAAAAGAAAAAAAAGAACGAAAACTCGGAATTATCAGAGACTACAAGCTGGTAAAACTTTGAATCTGCGACTCTGCATTCACACACTCGATTGTAAGATAACGTAGCAGATAACGTCGAGTTGGAAAATTTCGAAAAGAAAAAAAAAAAAATTCAAGCAACCTATCTATCTAGATCCAGGCACAGTTACGCTCTTTCAGAGATTATGACGATACCAGCTCGTAAACGGGGGGGAAAGAAACTCGAAGAAACCCCTACGAAGGTGAATCACCTTCCTTTGAAACTCTGAACGAAACTTCCGGATGATAGTCGGGAGTTATCGACGAGCTGTTCAAACAAGATCAATGACACGCTCGTGCGGATCACACCGTTAGACGCGTCACCGTTGCGCAGAGATAGAAAAAAAAAAAAAAAAAAATGTCGTCCTCTTTCGAGAAGCAGCAAAAGAGGCAGACTATCGCCGGGTGCAGGAGGAGTTCGAATTTCTGCAGCACGCCGGTGATAGGCGAGGCGAAGAAGCTGAGCAGCATAAGTCTGTCCGGGATCGATTCCAACTCCTCGTCGGCGAGGGAGCAAAATCGGAGGGAGATCCTGCTGGAAAGTTTCGCGAGGAAGCAGAAGAGGAAGCGGAAGTTGCAGCCGAAGAAGGCTCCTTCGAAACCGGAAAGGAAGTCGAAGCGAGCCAAGAGGAACGACGACGAGAAAATTAATACGGATACAGATTGGGAAACCTGCGACGAGGAATCAAGGCGTCAGCCTTTAGCCCGAAAAGCGTCGACTTGCTCTGCTTCCGGATCAGGGACTGCCGACGTCCTGTTTCGGGATTTGGGATCGCCGGAGAAGGTTCGAAGGACGTCTCGTTTTGTTGAAAATCGTTTGGAATCGCCACTATTGAGGCCACGCCCGTACGAGCTCGAAAGTCCAGAGAGAGTCGATTTTGATTTGAAAGAGGACGAAGGGAGAACACTTCCTTTGAAGGATCTGCCCTCTTCTCGCATATGCTTGGATGACTCTGACTCTGACTCTGACAACAGGAGTAGACACATAAGTAATTATCCTGTACTTTTTTTCTCTTTTTATCGAATGATATAGGGTGGACCAGAAACCATGTCCCGTAATTTTAAATTTGATTAATAAAATTAATTTTTTCTTACGTTTTATTAAAAAAAAAAATATATATATATATATGTGTGTGGGAAGAAACTTTTGGCCCACTCTATATTGGAATTTAGCAACATTAAAATTGAGGAACTTTGTGGAAAAGAGAAGCTTCCTCTCAGATTTTAGTTTCAACGATTCTGAATTTTACTTCTTTGGTAACATTTAAGAAATCTAGTGTTGTTAGTATTAATACCAGATACTACATACAATATCTTTAATATTATTCGAGAATCTTTTATGTAGTAATTATTTAGAATTTGGCAATATTAAAATTGTGAAGCTTTCTGGAAAAGAGGAACTCAGCTTGATTCTAGTCGAATTGCGAGAATTTAGCATTATTTGAGGGTCTCTTATCTAATAATATATATATAATTTAACAATATTAAAATTGTGAAGCTTCCTCTCAAATTCGAGGGTTTAGTTCCAGTCGTCTTTAGATTTTATTTAAGCAAGAAATTAGATCCTCTCGAGATGTACAGCGTGTTACAATGTTTTTCAGAAGCAGAAGATGCGGTTAAGAATTATCTAGGTCTTAGGAACAAGAGAAACGACCAAAATCACGTGAGAATCGAAAAATGCAAGGAATGGTTGGTCGACGTATCGGTTCCAACAGCGTCGAGCGATTATCTTTGGAATGATTTTATTAGAAACAATCACGAAAATATCGGCAAATACCTTGCATCACCGGGTAACGCGCAGAAATCGTCATCGAAGAAGCGTAGGGGTACGAGCAGCGAAAATGAAGAAGGTATTGAAATATTAATCTCCAATTAATTTTGCCTAAATATTATATAATAATATAACTAATAAAATAATAATATAATATAATATTATATAATAATATAAATAATAAAATAATAATATAACATAATATTATATAATAATATAACTAATAAAATAATAATATAGTATAATATTATATAATAATATAACTAATAAAATAATAATATAACATAATATTATATAATAATATAACTAATAAAATAATAATATAACATAATATTATATAATAATATAACTAATAAAACAATAATATAAATAATAATATAATATTATATAATAATATAACTAATAAAATAATAATATAATATAATATTATATAATATAAATAATAAAATAATAATATAATATTATATAATAATACATACAATATAATAATAATGACATTACATTAATAAAACAACGCAGGTGAACGTTCCGTGATCCAAGGTAGCCCCGAAGGAAAGTTTAATTTCGAGCAAGCAAAGTTGCGCAAGCAAATGGGCATCGTGCGTGGATATTGGGACAAATCCTCGCAGAAATGGGTTCGATTTTACGACGTTTACGACTTCCCCGCGGCAGAGGACAAGTTTAAAAGGCGAATGACCTTGAATCAGTTCCTTCAGAAATGCAGAGATAAGAAAAGACGTTTGGAGGAAGTAGGATCCAGTTCACAAAATGTCAAGGAAAATGTCGAGGAAACTGGCAAAAATTTGAGCTCGAATACCCGGGAGATGAGGAGAGGAAAACACGTTGATTTTCAATTTGAACCAAAGAAATCTAGTGGAACGATGACGGACATATCGGACTCAGAATTGCAAAGGATAAATAGAGTTCGTCAATTTGCATCGCGACTGAACGCGAGGAGAAAGATGATGCTTGAAACTTTGAAAGATACTGAATCACATAGTGGAACATCCTCGTTGAAAAGGGTAAATGAGAATAACACGGACGATGGTAAGGATGAAACAGTAGTGAAACCGAGAAACAAACCTACGATCAAATCGGTGGAAATACTGACAAAAAGAAAATGGAAAGTCTTATAGATAGTATTTAGATACTACGTACGAAATGCGTATTTATTCATGAAGTTATTTACAATTGAAAAGCATTCAGTATCGTGGAATATTGAATGGCTTATAGTTCTCGTTACATTTTCAAAATTGTTAATATTGTGAAGATTGTAATTTTTTTTGTAAATTATATACCATTTTTTTTTGATTATACGAAAACGTGGAATTTTTGTTGCGTAAATATATTCTATGTACTTACACGTATGTAGCGCTCGATTCGAGAAGAAATATACAAACAACATTCATACTCATTTGCGTTGAAAAAACGAGTTTTTCTTCTTTTCTTTTTTTTTTTTTTTTTGTGAAACAAGTAGTTGGGATGTGCTGCATTAAAGTTAAACACATTGCGAAATGTGTGTACAAAATATAAAAATAATACCGCCAAAGAGGTTAAGACGCAATAGATGGTGCGTGCGTGCGACGCGCTCCGGAAGCTTTTCTGAATTTTGGCCGTTTAATTCCCTAGAATTACTTAATTATCTGCGCCAATGAAGATGTCGCGGGGGGAACCCCGTCGTCGTTTCGTTTTAACACATTTTCGGATCGTGTTGTAAATTATGATATAACTTGGTTATATCTCAAGTTTGTCTATCCTTTTCCCTCTTTGAAAAACGTCAAAATAAACGACGTCCGAATCGTCGGTATGAGTTTGTTTTTTGGCTTTGTACGCAGCGTGTTCCTCAAGATGCTGCAGTTGGTTTGGTTCGGCAAACGGAAACTAACAAATTCATTGAGCATATACGTGAAAACAAACACTGGCAACACGTTCCCCGTTGATTTGGACCCAAAATGGGACATAAAGAACGTGAAGGAGATAGTGGCATCTCAAATGGGGATATTACCCGAGGACATAAAAATAATATTTGCAGGGAAAGAGCTGCACAATTCGACGATAATAGAAGTGAGTTTGCACATATTTTCATAAATAACTTGTTGACAATGTATAGTTTTGAAGTACAGAACAGTTGCGAGTGTGATAACCTCACTTTATCAAAGTACACTTTGTTGTAGGAATGTGATTTGGGTCAGCAGAGTATATTGCACGCAGTTCGTACACCATCGCAGAGATTAAACAAAAGCAAGGATACCGACACCATTGACGAGTCTCTGGAAATATCTGAATCGAATGACAGCGGTGGGAAACCGATGAATGAAACTCTGACAGATCTACCTTTGGATGAGTCAGAGCCACAAGAGAATTCATCCATGGAAGGTAGAATAATTGTTGCCTTTTAAAGGATGAAAGATACAAGTGATGAAAGTGAATACTAAATAACGTGGCCAACTAGTTGTAGCTTTATGTCAATAATACAGGATTTGTCAATACGTTTACAGAGAAACACGAGACTCGAGCGCATTTCTTTGTGTATTGTTCAACGCCATGCAAAGCTGTAACAGTTGGAAAATTAAGAGTAAGATGCTCAACCTGTAACAGTGGGGCAGTTACAGTAGATAGAGATCCTCAGTGTTGGCCAGATGTATTACAACCGAGGAGAATAACAGTTCATTGTGAAAATGATTTTTGTCCAGCACCTACGCATATATCCAATGATACGGAATCCCAAGTATTGTACGCGCGTTTTTATTTCAAGTGTGGGAAACATGTTAGTTTGGGAGAGGGGGATGAAGCTGTTCCTCTGTACCTTATAAAACCAAACTTAAGAAGGATACCTTGTCTTGCCTGTACAGATGTTAGGTAAATTATTTGTTGATTTTCGCTATCAGCAAAAGCATATAATAACATTTTCAAACATAGGTCGTTTGTAGGGATATGGTCTTGGTTTTCCCATGTGAAGCTGGTCATGTAACCTGCCTTGATTGCTTTAAAGACTATTGTTCAGTTCGTTTAAGAGAACGCCAATTTCAGTTTGATGAAATTAAAGGATATTATACGCTTCCATGTCCAGCCGGATGTCCAAACTCTTTTATTCCAGAAGTACATCATTTTCATTTGCTTACACCTGAACAGGTACCTTATAATCAGTACATGAATATCAAAAAATTTTTAAATATTAATTGTATATACATGTGTGATATAGTATGAACAGTATCAAAGATTTAGTACAGAAGAATATGTTTTACGTGCTGGTGGAATTTTATGTCCAAGACCAGATTGTGGTATGGGTATTATACCAGAATCTTCAGACAACGGTAGTGAGGAATGCAGAAGAATTCAGTGTATTGGTGGTTGTGGGGTAACTATCTATAAATAAAGCATTCTGTAAGAATACAAATTTTTAAATAATTAAAATATCAATAATATACTTTTCTGTCTAGTATGTTTTTTGTAGACGATGTTTACAAGGTTTCCATTTAGGAGAATGTGAATTGCAATCTTCTGAGTCTTCCAATACAACGCACAAATCTGGATATTTAGTCGATCCACAGAGAGCTAACGATGTATGTATTACTACTCTTATATTATATGTAATATATTGTCAGATTATTATTATTAATATATTGTCAGAAATATTATTTTATGATTTTCTTGCTTAGGCGAAATGGGATGAAGCCAGTAACAAAACTATCAGAATTTCAACAAAACCCTGTCCAAAATGTAGAACACCAACTGAAAGAGATGGTATTTTAAAATACTAAAATGTAATATTAAAATATTTGATCAATTTTTTTATTTAAAAATCGTATATTACTTTCTAGGAGGATGCATGCACATGGTTTGTACCAGAGCAGGATGTGGTTATCATTGGTGCTGGGTATGTCAGACAGAATGGACAAGAAACTGCATGGGCAATCATTGGTTTGGATAATTTTGTAACTATTTATATCATAAGAATATAGTATATTATTTTGTATAAATATAAATAAAATAGAATTAAAAATACAGTCATAATTACTATCATGAATTATACTAGTCAATTGTACTGGTCAATTCAAGATAGTAGATGGAAATAAATTCTATAAGGATATATTTTGGATATATTTTGAAATAAGGAATGACATTTTAATCTTTCTTTTCAAATAGTATGTACTATTTTCTAATCATATGTGTAAATTATTAATTTATTAATTTATTTTCTTTTAGTTTGTAAAAATTTCACCATGTACGAGCGTAATTAGTCATTGTATATGTATATATGTATGTAACAATTGTAAATTTAAGTTTATATATAAATTTTTGCGAGTCGTTACGAACGAAATGTAAAAGTGCCTTCTCTTCGTTCTATTTAGAAAATATATATACATGGGCATTTGTTTGTGAATAAATCATCGTACGTATCACGATACAAACAAATCACCTTGTGACTTAATTCTTTGTATTATAGAGGAAAATATGTAGAATGATATGTACATGCGTTTACTGTATTTTATTATAACAATCACGTTATCTTTAGTACATGTGACTTAAAAGCATTTAAGACACGACTTTTAGGACGGATTCATTTTTCAGAAATTGACATTGGATCTGATTAGATAATTACAAAATACGTGACTAATTTAACAATCTGTCAGATTAATTAACATCGTTATTTTTATATTTTCACTCGCGTTTCCGCGACATTTATTTCTATTTCTACATCTATATACCTATCTCAATAATTTCAATTACTTTTATATACCTATATATACGTGTGCGTGCGTGCGTTATTTGCGTATTGCATCCAAGAGGATTCGATACGACTTTGATGATACTTGGTCATCTAATTATTAAAACGAACGTAGAAGTTATCGAGTAGCAGCTGCGTACCTTAAACGAGATTATGTGTATCACATACGGAAATCAAATTGCCGTGGTTTGCGGTGCAGGCGGTGGTGTCAGTGGGGTCCAACCGGTCGCTTGATGATCGTTACTCGGAATGTCCGAGTCTTGTCGGTGATGTCTGTCAATTACCGTTGTCAGATATCTCCTGTTCTCGTCCGGCTGCACGTCGTTCAACGTGTCCGCATTTTGTTCGGAATAACTGACATGTATGTGATGCTCCTTCGAAGGGGTGTCGTACTCGACGCTAACAGGAGACACTGTTCCAGGTTGTTGGATCGGTTGCATGTGCAACATTTGCGAATGATGCTGCTGCGAGTGACGATCGGGTGTCGTCGATTGAACCGGGGAGGCGTGATACTCGTGAACGTACTCGTCGACAGCGGCTGGGACAGCGCTGTCCGTACCGTTCGAGTGGAGAGAAGGGTGCAGGCCTGTATGAGGGACCGAGGCGTAAGATGACATCTGGTGATGTAAATGTAAGTTCAGATTCAAGTAAGACTGTTGCTGCTGCTGCTGTTGCTCCGACAATGTTGTAGGATGAATCCAGGCTGAGGTGTCGGCGCAATGGCCGTGCTCTTGGGGGACTGAGGACAAGTTTGACGGCACGTATAACGTGCATCCTGTGGCGGTGGTCGGGGACGCGGTACCAACGACTCCTCTACTGAACACCGCGTGCGAGGACGAGGTTGGCGACGGCGACGGAGACGTGGGCCACTCCTGTGTGGGTGGTAGACAAGCTGGATTTAAGTTCTGCAGGCTTTCTGGACTGCGTGGCGACCAGCCTGGCGCCGCTACGTACGCTGTGGAATGCAACAGCTGTACTGAACCATACGGATCAGCGCGTTGTTCTGTAAACGTTGTTCATTTGCAACATGATTTATATAACATTTGATAATGCGTGATAATTGATGATACCAGCAGAGCTGGTACTGAGAACTCACCATCTTGAATGTATTTGTGTCTGAAAGTGTAAGGCGTTGATCTGCAAGTAGTCCTGTGGCCAGCTGTAGAAACGGTACAAGAATTAGAGAGGTGATTATTGACCGTCACTGACGCTTGATTTTGTGCGGCCGCAATGGCCGTAGCTGTGTTATATTCGTATCCCATGGTAGGCTGTGGCAAAAACCAAGCGCCGGTGTCTGTAAATTCATAATTTCGATATCCTCTTAAATAAATATTTTATTAATCACTGATACTTTGATCGATCGTACAATCAAAATTCCAGATATACAACAGAGGGAGCTCTCGTGATCGATTAACTCACATTGCGGATAGGTCTGCGGATCGGCTGGCCTTTCTTTAGCATCGAGGAACGCCTTTGCGAAAGGATTGTATTTAATCTTCAAATTTGTAACTTCTTCGTTCTGGTAGGCCGTCACCGCTATGAATTGTGTCTCGGGATAACGGTAAGTCAATACCTGAATATCATTTCCATATTAAAATGCCTCCTCTTCAGGCACACACGGCACGAATTAAAATTACAATTTTCCTTTCCTTTTTACGTCGCCTTTTGTAAATATTTCAGAGCGCGTCACGACGAAATTACAAACCTCGGAGGAATTTAGAAGAGATATCGTACCGTTCGTTCTTCCACCGCGTCCACGCGAACCAGATGAATTCGAGGCTCGTATTTATGCAGGGAGTTTAGCATAATTTGCCCGTTCCCGTTGGATTTGTTCGTCAGCTTCACTTTGGCGAACGACACCGCCTCCTTCATCCAGTGTGATCCAAAATTTGGGCTCTCGGGGTGGACGTAAATTGGATTTGGCGGGGCGACTTCCGCTTTCCCGCCGGGGACCCATTCTCCGTTCACGTATTTCCATCTGTCAATAAAATTTCGAACAGTTTTCAAACGCTACACTCTTTCTGTATAAAGTTCTAAAACAGACAATTTTATCTAGGAGAGTGTAGAAATACTTCAAGTGGAAGAACTAATGAAACTCGGGCCAAAAAGACATGAAGTGATTAGAAAGAAAGAAAGAAAAAAAGGAACGTAGCAGAGTTTAAATCCTATCCAAGTCTCATTCCTACCTGTGTGGATCCACCTGGACGAACTCGAGAAGAACAGTGTACATGGCTTTCGGCTCCAAGCCCCTTGCAACCACTTTGACCACGGGGAACATGCGCCTGGAAAGTGAAATCGAAGATACAGATGAAGACTTAACTGTAATGGTAGGAATCCTTCACGTAGGATTTTTTATTAGCTGTCTTTCCCTTTGTCTTTACTCAAGTTTGATTCTTTACGCTACTAGCTACCACAGGGACGTTTTGTAAAGCGATAACGAAAGAAGAAGAAGAAGAAGATGTCTAAGAGAGGAGCAGGGATTTTATAAACACTAATGAAAGTAACACTGAAGGCGGCGGGCGGCAGAAGAAGCCGAGCCGCCGGGCAATAAAATTTTACGATAGAGCCACGATTCTGCGTAAAACATTCTCTCTATCTCTCTCTTTCTCTCTCTGGTTTCTGGTTGTGCCCACGAATACTGACGGCCGTGCACGAAAAACGCGGTCGACAAACTGTAATCGTTTTTAATAATACACGGAATCGTAAAAGCAGTCGGCGGAGGATACGACGTGGCGAAAATCTTTTTGATTTCTGCCGGTCAGGAAGGAACATCGGAGCCATGCTTCGCTCGATTTCTGCTCGTCTCGACATTTTTCTATTGCAGATTTCTGATAAATATAAATGCGGTATGCGGTTTATGCATGATGGAGCTCCGCCGCATTTTAAATCAACACTTTGCAAATAAATGGATTGCATGACCTGCTCGTTCTCCGGATTTGAATCCGGTTAGATTTTCACTTGTGGGGACATTTAAAATCTATTGTATACGCAACATCGATTGAAAATTGTGAAACACTACGAAATAGAATAGAGCAAGGCTATTCCGACAAATTCGAGAAACACCAGGAATGATAGAGAGAGTAACCAGATCAATGACAAGACGCGTGCAGGTTTGCCTTCAAATGCAAGATTGTCGTTTCGAGCATCTTTTTTGTAAAAGTAATTAAAACAGAAAATTCATTATATCTCATAAACGAAGACAGATATAGGACATGTATTTATATGCTTATACTTTTACTCTGTTTATACTTTTCTTTTCATTATTTTTAGGCGTACAATCAGCTCCCGAAGTGGGTCCCACAAGTTACAAAACACCCTGTACATCTCGAATTTTTCTTATAACAACATTACATCGTTACTTCATGAAAGACAAAATCTCCAATTGATCTATCGTTCTCCGTGTTTTCCGATTGATGTTAATCAAGTAGATCCTAGAATCGATTAAGAACAGAAGAAGAAAAATAAACGAGACACTCGATCGAAGGAAAAAAAAATATTTGTCATCGATCAAGTCTCTCATGTCAATTTGCAATCGATGCAAAAGAGACTACAAATACAAATGAGTCGGTTGAATCGTAGAGGAAGACTACTTCTGCGTGTTTTTTTTTCTTTTTTTTTTCTTCTCTCGAAGCAAGCGTGGAATATTCATTTGCATGAATCATCTACATCCTCGCAACGTTTTGCAACGATCTTTTTTATTTTTTTTAATTTTTTTTTTTCCATTCTACGAACAATTTTTTCTCTCTCTCCTCTTCTCCCTTGTATATGAACTATTATTTTTACCTTCTGGCTTGTTCGCACCGACGTTCTAATTAATACATTTTTACGCGCAACGGAGAGCCATCTTTGCCACTCGGACCTTTTAACCAGCGGATCCTTCCTTCGAGCTTCTTGTACGCGAAACCTAAGATATATATGTATATATATATATATATATGTAGACACCTGTTTCGAACGTGCAAATGACTCGTCCCCGTGTCTGTAAATCGTTCGTACTCGAAACTTACGTACTCGCGTCGATATTTCCAGTCACAGTTTCCTCAAACTCGGTTTCCTCAAACGAAATCGAAATTCTTAAAAATCGAACAGCGGAAAAAAAAACAACAACTCTTCTCAAGGAAACAACAATTTGTTCTCATCCTTCCAATTTCACAATTATTTCAAAGACACAAGTTCATCCAGTAGGGTCGTCCACTCACCTTCCGTTCTTCGTGACGATCATTTCGTTGGTCAGGCACTGGAACTTGGTCCACAGATCTCTGTCCTCGAGGGACAAGGAGAGAGGCAATCCCTGATTCCCGCTGACGGTCATGGTACCGAGATTCTGCCCGGAAATCACCGTCCTCTCGTTGCTCCTCTCCTCGTGATCGTCCTCGGGAGTGGCGCGACTTTGCCTCCCGACGCTGTTCCGCTCCCTTCCGCGATCCTCGTGCGCTTCTCTCTCGCGATCTCGTTCGGAACAGGAGGACCGTGTCGGAGAGCCGGGTTTAACCGGTGCTGGCTGCATCTTCCCTATTTCCCTCGACTAACTGGGAACTCTCCGTGACACGAGATAGAGAGCGAGAGCTCTCACTGTTTCTCGATTTATCCGAGAGTGAAGAGAGGAGGGCCAAGAGAATTGGTCGATGACAGAACTCGGACACTGTTTCTCCCCAAGCCGATTAAGATTCGCAGACGACAGAGAAAGAGAGACAGAGAGAGAGAGAGAGCGAATTAGGCAGACACGGCGGTGGCTTTTGATTTCCCTCCGGCGTGGAAATTTGTACGCGATTTTCCCCGATGAAGTTAACAATCGCGCGAGTATGAACGAAGAAGAAGAAGAAGAAGAAGAAGAAGAAGAGGAGGAGGAGGAGGAGAGCGGGAAAAAAGGGGACAAACAGTAAGAAAGATGGAGGATCTACTTGGAGACGAGACACTATCCCGGTCCCGCGGCCGCGTGGCCGTGCTCGTAACACTTGGGCGCGATATTTCACACTAGTCGGCGAAGAAACGGAGCCGAGGACTGACTGCTGACATATCGTCGTCTCTGTTCGACTCGGTTCCTTCGCGGCCGTTTCCTACGATGGTAGCCACGGCCCAATCGATGCGCCGTGCGGGCACACGGCTCTCCCGGCTTACCACGGGTGCTAATTGAACTCTAAATTAGGAAAGCTCCGGGGGCAGCATGGCGGCAGCCCCCGGATGCCCCCGTCGATGGCGGTATCGTCGATTGGCCACCGGGATCCATGCCCCCCGCGTGAACCATCTCACTGGCGGTTCACATTCTTTCACGAAGACAAGAGGACATTGGTCGCCGCCTTTCCAACGTTTCACCGGCCAATCCATGCACGGGACCATTTTACGATTTCACGACGGTTGGTCGATGTTCGCGGAAGCACGAGGCCTGCCAGTCCGCCCACGCGGCCGACAGTCGTCCGACAGTCGTCTCCTCTTCGCTGGTTCTCTTCATCGCCCGGTTCTCCGATCGCCACGTCGGTCCCTCTTTCTTCATCGTCGAGCAAGTTTTTGTTTGCTCGTCCCTCGCGCCGGTTCACCAACAGCCAGTTCTCTCTTTTTTCTTTTTTTTTTTTTTTTTTTTTTTTTT